GAAAGTGACTCACTGTGGACAAGGTGATCCCCTGAAACTGCAACTGGCTCCTTACCCCCGAGCCACGGGGCCCTGCCTGCACACGGCCAGCCGGGCACAGGCCCGGACTCCATGTAAGATCCCCTGAGCACCACCCGGAGTGACTCAGGAGCACTGAGCCAGGAGGAAGCCCCGACATGGCCGGGCAGCCCCAACCCCAAAATCAATGAAAAGAATTTTATCAAGAAAAACTGGAGGTGTTTATGTCGGCCTCAGTTTCCCTCCACATGTTCACGTTACAGAATAAGAGTTTCTTACTCCAGCACACCAGCACCAGCCCCGCCCCACAGAGGTTCGTGGCAGTCACTGGTGCTGAGCATGTCACGGACACTCCTCTCTGGTCTCAGACCCGGTCCCCAGGCGTCGCTAGCTGCACAGCATTCTCCACTGTGTGCCAGGGTCAGTCCCAATGCTTCGAAGTCATTCATTCATTCATTCATTCATTTGCTCTTGGGTTTCGAGCCATACCAGGTGGTGCTATGCTCAGCTCAGGGGGAGGCTGCCTCTGTGAAAAGTGCGGGCTGGTGGGAGGCGGGGGAGGACATGAAGCCAAGAAGCCAACCAGGGTCCCCTGGCCGCAGCCCCCGTGCATGCACTCGGCCCCCTGCACCGCCTCTCCAGCCCCAGCCCCAGGGCCTTCAGGGAAGCACGGCCCTACAGACGTCGCAGACCTGTCACCTGTGTCCGCCCTGCAGGGTCACTGCACTAGCGGGAAGGGCCGCGCCTCACCAGGAAGCGATCAGCGTCCCCCTCCGACCCCTCTCTTCTCCTTCAGCCCTGACCACCACATTTCCACGTCAATCACTCAACATGCCTCTTACAACGACATCAGCAGAGATGTGGTGGGCTCTGGGCCCAGGGCCACTGACTAAATCAGGAACACGGGAGCCTCGCAGACCCGGCAGCCTCGGCTGGGGAAGGCTGCAGCCGTGACAATCCCGGTCACGTGCCCAGGAGTGCGGGAACCGGGGACACTGCCGGGCTCCTCACAAGGCCGATGAGAGTCGATCAGCAGCTCGCAAGCAACTCCCCTCCGCCCGCCCAAAGAGCTCAGAAGGGGCCCTGCCTGCCTTGGGCTGAGACTCGAGGAACTGAACCACTAGCAGGCCAGAGGCCAACAAGGCCTCGTGCTTGGGAAACCCGGGGCCCAGGGTCATTCTGCAGCATAGCGGGCCGGGAACAGCTGGGCACCCGGTCCTGGAGGGGGGCTCCGGGCCACACCCAGGAAACGCAGGTGCCGGGGATCCACCCGGGGTGGGTGCACACAAGATACCCTCGCAGGACCTCCAGGCGCTGTGGAACAAACTCCAGACACTCCAAGAGAAATGTGATGACGGCGAGGACTTAGTCCCGAAGGCCAAGACATGCAGAGACCGAAAAGTTCACAATTAGAAGAGGGGAAAAGGAATCCCAGGGACATAAAAGTTTGATATGAAAGATAAGGGCTGGCGAGATGGTCCAGTGGGTAAAGCTCTGGCCTCGCAGGCAGCAGGCAACCCAGGTTCATGTCCAGGAGCACAAGTGTGCCCTGAGCACCGTCAGGAGTGATCCCCAAGCTCAGAGCCGGGAGTCAGTTCTCAGCACTGCCAGGTATGGCCAAAAAAGAAAAAAGAAAAAGAACAGATAATTGGCTAGCTGACAGATAAGTTAAACTACTATTCAATATACTCAGGATTAAAATACATAATGAGGGGGTCTGGTGCCGCCAGCAGGTCAATCTGTACCTGTGAGGCGAGTGCATCAGCAGCCTGATGGCGCCTTCAGACTTCCAGATACCCCAAAATTGCTGCTGTGCCTTTGGCCAGACCCCAAAAACATGGGGCAAAGTTTACCAAGAAAGTAAACGGCCAAAAGTTAGGTATGTGGGAGATACACCCACAAACCACCTCCGGCTCAGCTACATAATTGGAGGCCTGGCCTCTCTGGTTCCTGATCGAACTGCTTAACAGCCAAAGTCCCAGAGACTCAGAAACGAATCTCAAAACCCAACGGCTTTTGGCAGAAATGTGTCTGGTCCCTAAAGTAGGTTACTGTCGCCAGGCCACCCCAGGTGGGAAAAGGTTTTGTGCCTTGGCCTATTCCCCCTGGCTGCCCAGTGGCCACCATCTAGAGGCCACTGGACAATCAGGTTTGGGTCCGCAGTGAGGAGACACGCAGGGCCTCACGGTTTGGGGATGGATCCAGCCCGTTCCTCCCCACACCAACGAGACCCCAAGTGGCCGCCCACGAACAGCCTCTCTCGCTCCTGATCAAGCTGTTTAATGGCCATGATCCCAGAGACTCAGAACCAAATCTCAGAACCCAGTGGCTTTGGGCAGAAATCTGTCCGGACCCGCAGTAGGTTACTGTTGCCGGGCCACCCCAGGGGGGAAAGGGTGCTGTCCCTCCGCCTGCTCCTAGGCGGCTCAGTGGCCGCCATCTTCCAGAGGCCATTGGACAGTCAGGTTTGGGCCCACAATGACGAGACACATGGGGCCTCACGGGATGGGGGTGGAGCCGGCCCTTTCCTCCCCACCCCAATAAGATCCCAAGTCACCACCCACAAATGGCCTTTCTGGCTCCTGATCAAGCCACTTAATGGCCATGATCCCAAAGACCAGAAACGAATCTTAGAACCCAAAGGCTTTTGGCAGAAATGCGTCCTGTTCCTGCAGTAGATTACTGGCGCTGGGCCACTCCAGGTGGGAATAGGTTTCGTGCCTTGGCCTGTTCCCCCTGGTGGCCTGGTGGCGGCCATCCTCCAGAGGCCACTGGACAGTCAGGTTTTGGCCCGCAGTGACAATACACGTGGAGCCTCAGGGTGGAACTGGCCCTTTCCTCCCGACCCCAATGAGACCACGAATTACCACCCACGGACGGCCTCTCTGGTTCCTGATCAAGTCACTTAACAGCCATGATCCCAGAGACTCAGAAACAAATCTCCAAACCCTGCAGCTTTTGACAGAAATGCATCCGGACCCGCAGTAGGTTACTGTCGCCGGGCCACCCCAGGAGGGTAAGGGTGCTGTCCCTCCGCCTGCTCCCCCTTGGCAGCTCAGTGGCCGCCATCTTCCAGAGGCCACTGGACAGTCAGGTTTGGACCCGCAGCGACGAGACACGTGGGGCCTCACGAGACGGGGGTGGAGCTGACCCTTTTCTCCCCACCCCAACAACACCGCGTGTTGCCGCCCACGAATGGCCTCTCTGGCTCCTTGATCAAGCTGCTTAACGGCCATGATCCCAGAGGCTCAGGAACAAATCTCGGAACCCAGCAGGTTTTGGCAGAAATCCCTCCAGATTTAAGTGTTAAAATTTCGAAATTACAAAATTGCGCGGTCACTACTACAGTCACGTGACATCATGTTATTCATAACCAGCAATAGAAAACAAATTGTCTACTGTTGCCTTTTCAGCAGATCTGAGTGTTGGGGTAAAATCCCAAATAATAATGGTGGGTCTGGTGTCAAAATACTGAATGTGATCAAAGTAGAGAGAGAGTAATGTGGAAATCATCTGCCCCACAGGTAGGGGGAGGGTGTGGGATGGGGGTGTACTGGGGTTGCTGGGGGTGGAGAATGGGCACTGGTGAAGGTACAGGTGTTTCACTGTATGGCCGAGACTTAGACCCGAAAGCTTTGTAACTGCTCTCACGGTGATTCAATAAAGAAAATTATAAAAAATGAAGAAAAAAAAAGTAAGGTGGAGTTCATGCCCAGTTCAATCAGCTAATGAATAAATAGCAGTGCTCCTACATTAAAAAAAGATACACAATGAGGAGAGAGATGGACTTAGTTCCAACCAAAAAGGAAATATGGGGCCAGAATGACAGTACAGGGGTAGGGCAGGAGCTTTGCACACGGCCAACCCAGGTGAATCCCCAGCCCCCCATGTGGCCCCCCAAGCATCGCCAGGAGTAGCTGCTGAGAGCGCAGAGCCAGGAGTAAGCCCTGAGCACTGCTGTGCATGGCCCCAAAGTGAAACGAAAAAGATAACATCAAAGATCATTGGTAACACCGAAAATGAAGTCTTCACTCGATCAGACTGTTACTAAGACACTGTAGAAAAGATCAATAAAGTTGTAACAATAGAAACGATCCCAAATTAAGCACTGGGGGAAACAGGAGCAGAGAAGAAACCTCAGAGTTTGGAGGGAAATCTCAAATAGAAGGTGAGTGCGGTCTAACAAGCTGGGATCGGAACGGAGGGAGGACGTGGGAGCCTGTGGAAAGAGGAACACCCTAGGTAACAGCCGAAATCTACCGTGACGGAAGGGCTGGGTGACAGGACAGCAGGGAGGGCCCTGGCCATGTAAGCGGCTGACCCGGGCTCGATCCCCGGCAGCCCCTACGGTCTGCTGAGCACCGCCAGGCCTGATCCCTGAGCGCAGAGCCAGGAGGGTTGATCCTGAACATCACTGGGTGTGGCCCCCAAACCAAAAGAAAATAAAAATGTATCAAGACATAATCCCATAGATTGAATCGTCACAGCCCACGCGGCTCCCTGGGGAGTCACAGCCCAGGGGTTTGGACTTTCACAGCCCACGCGGCTCCCTGGGGAGTCACAGCCCAGGGGTTTGGACTTTCTGCAGCATGGGGCCCTGAGGACATCTCCGAATTCTCCAGCACCCATACCCCAGCAGGAAGTAACACAGACACCAACGAAACACAAACACACAAGCTCAAGGAGTAACCATCAGACAAGGATGTAATGACCACCAGCTCAGGGGACCATCAGAACCATCAGCTCAGGGAACCATCAAACAAGGATGTAATGGCTCCATGGTGAGATAGAACAATTCTCTTTTACTGAGGCATGTTTTAATAATTTAATTAGCCATTTAATGAAGCAAGCAATATAAATTATTTTGTGCCTGCAAAAAACAGAAAAGAAAAAAGTGCGCACCTAACTTTGCTGTTAAATGAACATTATCTTATGAGGAATCACCAGGTACTTTCTGGCTCATAGAAACAGCCTGTACTCACAGTTATGGGAACACTGAGGAATCATCATGGCAATGTTGAAGTACTCAAAGCAGATTCCGCAGCGCAGTAGATCATCTATCGTCTGAAACACAAGAATGCACACAGACATCAGAAAGACCCAAGGCTGGAGTGAGTGTCTGCCAGAATATTCTTTCCCCAGCCCCGAAAAAATGTGTGACTTAACAATACCTCTTTGTCACTGCACAACCTCAAAATTAACTTGCCCCGGCTAAGCCCGGGAAAGCCCACCCGGAGGAGTCCAGCACACTCCATGCCCGGCGGGGTAGGGGTGATAGGGCAGACCTGGCGCTCTGTAAGCCAGAGTCCCCACGCCAACCCCCAGCACCACACGATCCACCAAGAGCAAGCCCCAGTCAAGGAGTGGCCCCTGAGCACTGAGTCAGGAGTGGCCCCTAAGCACGGCCAGGTATGGCCCCAAACAAGAACTAAAGTGTCAGGTCAGGTGACGCGGAACACTGGAGGACAAAGCGGCTACCCTGAGAGGCCTGTGCAGGCCAGCCCCTCCTCAGTCGCGTGTTCCTGCCCGGCCTCCACGTCCCCAGCTCCTTCTCCTCAGAGGGTTTCGGCTTCTATCACTGCTGGCCGACGCCTCACGGCAGTGCCTCCAGGATAAGTGGGCACAGATCATCCCAGAAGGTCTGAGCTGCAGACAGTCCCCACACTCAGAGCAGGCGTGGGGCTGGGGCTAAGCGTGGCACCAAAGCCCTGCGGTCTGCAGGGCACGTCCTACGGCACCGCCCAGGGGAGACGCACCGGGCCGCACGGGCAGCCTGGACACTGCAGCAAAGCAGATGGGCCGGCTGGAACGCAACCACCGCACCCTGGGCTTGCCTGCACACTCCCGTCTCAGGGCTTGTTCTTTCCCGGTCTCGCAACAGAGCAGCCACCGCTGACGGCCATGGGCCAGGGCCAGAGTCAGAGGGACTCTGCTTATCCCCAGTGTCAAAAAATGCAAAGTAGGACCAGAACTTGCAAAACACAAAAATGTGACAGACTCATGAGGAAGAAAAGAGAAAATGCCCAAATATATGAGATCAGAGACGAGAGGGGAGAAATTACAGCAGACCCTTCAGAAATTCAAAATATAATGAGCGGTAACTCGGAATAACTTCATGCTCTGAAGCCAGAGGCCCCAAGGATAGGTCACGAGAGCCGCGACCTCCCGAGCTGAGCAAGGAGGAAGAACGCCCGGCCAGGCCCGTCACACGGCACACTGAGACAGCAACAAGAATCTCTCCGGGAATAAAAGTCCCGGTCCAGATGGGGTCACTGGAGAGTTTTATCAAACCTTCAAAGAAGACTTAATGTCCAAATCAATCTTAGGGGGAAATACACACACACACACACACACACACGTGTGTGTGTGTGTGTATATATATATGTACATATATATATATATGCATACAGGTTCAAACTTTAACAACATGTTACTAATCTCCTAAGAAGGGCTTAATGGCTCCTGGGTGAGATATAACAATCTTCACTTGCCTCTAAGAAAACTTTTTTGGGCCATTTTTAGTGGATTATTCATAACTAAAGGTAAAGGCCCTCCCGTTGATCATCGATTTGCTCGAGCAGGCCCAGTAACGTCTCCATTGGAGACTTTGTTGTTATTGTGTCTGGCATATCGAATACTCTCGGTAGCTTGCCGGGCTCTCCGAGAGGGGCGGAGGAATCACTAGCAATACAAAAATAAATTAACAGTAGTGGGATTTAAATTAATATTCAAATATTAAATGTAATCAATTATTGTGAACAACTTTATAAAAACAAAATTAAATTAAAAAAAATATTTACTGCCTGTACTCCTTAAGCCCTTCCAAAATACCGAAGAATCCTTCCTAACACCTTCTACGAAGCTGACATTACTCTAATTCCCAAAGCAGACAGAGACACTTCCAGAAAAAAAACTTTCAGGATAATCTCCCTGATGAACACCAATGCAAAAAGTCCTTAACAAAATCTTAGCAAGCCAAATCCAACAACATAGCAAAAAAATTATATGCCACAATCAAGTGGGACTCATTCCAGGGTTGCAAGGATGGTTCAACAGACGCAAAACAACTAATGGAATTCCCTAATTTACCACTGGGGTGAAAGATAAAAATCATGTGATCAGAGCACTTGAAGCAGTGAAAGCTTTTGGCAAGACCCAACAGCATTCCATAATAAGCTGACAGCCAATATGAAAAGCTGAACATAAAACTCTCCATCTCAACAGTGCAAAAGCTGAAAGCATTCCCTTTGCGATCGGCACGCGGCAAGGATGTCCAGTGTCCACGCTCATTCAAGATCGTATTAGAAGTCCTGGCGCCAGTAATCAGGTAAGAAAAACAAATCAGAAGGATCCAAACTGGAAAAGGTAAAGGCCCTCCCGTTGATCGTCGATTTGCTCGAGCGGGCCCAGTAACGTCTCCATTGGAGACTTTGTTGTTACTGTGTCTGGCATATCCAATACTCTCGGTAGCTTGCCGGGCTCTCCGAGAGGGGCGGAGGAATCGAACTCGGGTCGGCCATGTTGGCCGCTTGTAAGGCGAACGCCCTACCCGCTGTGCTATCGCTCCAGCCCCAAACTGGAAAAGGAGAAGTGAAATTCTCATTATCTGCAGATGATGTGAAGACCCTAAAAGAGCCACAAAAAAGCTCCCAGAAACAAGAAACCAATTCAGCAAAGCAGCCGACTACAAAGTCAATACACAAAAATCAGTTGCATTCTTATGTACAAAGAATCAGAGGAGAAACAGATCAAGGTCCGTCTCATTTAGAATAGTGTCCCAGAACATCAAGTATCGTGAAAACCTTAAATCACTGAAGAAAGTGACAGAAGACCTAGGAAATGGACAAAATGCCCTGATATTGTCAAAACGACCCTCCTCCCTAGTTATTATATAAATAAACGCAATCCCCGTCCAGATCCAGGCGACATTCTTCAAGGACCTAGAAAAGTCAATAATAACGTTTTTATGGAATCAGAAGGGACCACGAATAGCCAGAGCCAGGCTGCAAAATAAGAAACTGGGAGGCATCCGTCCTCTAATCTGCACCATAAGCCACAAGTGATACACAGACTGGCGCTGGACTAGAGACCCTCTGACCCGGGGCAGAATCGATATCCCAGACAAATTCCCGTAAAAAAAAGTTGATTTCTGAGAAAGGAGCTGAGAACACGAAATGGAGTAAACCTGGCCTGCTCCACAAATGGTGCTGGAGAAGCCACATGGATGAGACTAGAGCTAGATCCGTATCTCACACCTTCCAGAGAATTCAAAGCAGATCAAAGACCTTGAGATCTGACCCAAAACTCCAGGGTACACCGAGGAAAATATAGGCGAATCACTCCACACTTTGGGCCTCAAATGGAGTCTTCGGCGACATGACACCACTGGCAAAAGCAACAGAATTAAAAATAAACCAATGGGACTACATCGATTTACAGTTTCTGCGGGCAAAAGCATCACAGGCTAACACTGACAGGGGAAAACGCATTTGCATTCACGGCATCAGAGGAAGTCCATACAAAGCACCCACGAAGAGCAACAAGAAAAAATGCAAAAGCCCCATCCAAAAACAGGGAGAGGAAATGAACAAACAGTTCTCCGAAAAAGAGATGTGGGTGGCCAAGGCACGTGAAAGGCTGCTCAGTGTCACCCATCTAGGGGAATCCAAACCAAGGCGACAACGAGGCGTCACCTCACACAGGAGGAAGCACGCTATCAGAGTGGAGTGGTCGCTATCAGAGTGGAGTGGTCGGTCTGTGCTGTCACGGACTGCGGACTGCGGGGGAGAATGTTGCCTGGCTCAGCCCTGTGGCAAAGCGCAGGAGCGTTCTTGGAAACTCAGACTCAGCTGCCAGGAGGCCCGGGGAGTCTGCCTAGGGTTCCCACCCCGGACAGGAAACCATTCTCATGCTGCACTCAGTACACAGCCAAGGCCTGGAACCACCTCGGCACCCGATGACAGTGAACGGGCGACGGGGACGTGGGATACACACGTGGCGGGACACTGCTGGCGTGAGGAGCGATGAAAGAGAGCAATCAGCTGCAACGGGATGACCTGGAGGAAGACGGGCCCAGGAGGGTCTCACTCGTCTGTGGCCTGCAGGACACTGGACGGGTATGGACTGTAGTGAAGGGGCTGCCTACATCACCCCAGCCCCGAATACAGGGAGGACAGAGAAGGAAATAAACAGGGGAAGAAAAACCTGAGGAAGGAACAGGGTGAGGGCAGGGGCCGTGGCGGCGCTGTGGTCTGGAACACGCACAGACATCCGGACAACACTGGAAACATGAGACCCAGACTTCAGAGACCAAATGCGCTGGCAGGGGTGGGGTGGGGGTGAGGAACCTGGGCACTGGTGGAGGGAGGCTGACAGGGTGGGGACGGGGCTAGGCATGTAGCCAAAACTCAATTATGGGGGCTGGAGCCATAGCACAGCGGGGAGGGTGTTTGCCTTGCACGCAGCTGACCCGGGTTCGATTCCCAGCATCCCATAGTGTCCCCCGAGCACCGCCAGGAGTGATTCCTGAGTGCATGAGCCAGGAGTAACCCCTGAGCATCGCTGGGTGTGACCCAAAAAGCAAAAAAAAAGAAAAAAAAAGAAGCCATGAGATATACAATAATCTTCACTAACTTTCTGCTAAAGAAACATTTTTTCAATCATACTGTTAGCAAATTATTGATAACAGGCAATACAAAATAAACTAGTGAGGCCTGCCGTGGGGGCAGGCTTCAGGGGTGGTTGGGGAAATTGGACCATGGTGAAAGGAAGGTGTAAAGGTGATGTGACTGGTGTTGGAATACTGAGTGCCTGTAACAAATCATCACGAACAACTTCATAAACCACAGTGTTTGGATAAAGTGTAAGAGGAAAATAAAAAATCTATATTTTAAATGCCACAGAATATGGACACGTTTCAGTGGAAACAAACAGAAATCTGAGAGGGCGGAAGCACATCCCAAGGGTAGGGCGCTCGCCTTTCCCGCAGCTGACCAGGTTCAAGCTCCAAACCCTGGCGCCCCATACGGTCCCCTGAGCCCATCAGGAGTGATCCCTGAGCACAGAGTCAGGAGTAAGCCCTGAGCACTGTCAGGTGTGGTCGAAAGACAAAATCAAACGAGAAGAGCTGCGGACAGTAAGTGTGGCGGGGCATACGCCACCGGAGCACGGGTCCCAGGCACGAGCCCTCTGCCAGAAAACACACGTGCAGACCGGGGCGCGACTCGCTCCAGGTACCAGCGTCCTTCTTCGGGCGGGCACTGGGACTGCCAGTCTCGTTTTCTTGAAGGTAAGAATGCCAGAAAACACACGTGCAGACCGGGGCGCGACTCGCTCCAGGTACCAGCGTCCTTCTTCGGGCGGGCACTGGGACTGCCAGTCTCATTTTCTTGAAGGTAAGAAATCACTCCAGAGCCACGACTTCCGGGAGCAGCTACCTCCTTCCCTGTCCCTGGACGGGAGTCGGGCAGCTCCCGTATAACAGACAATGGTCACACACTGCCGACGGTGGACTCAAGCCGCGGCGCTGATGGAGGGTCCAGCAGCCCTGTCCTCGAGCACTCGCTGGGGCTGAACACCGAGCAGGGCAGAGACCCCGCAGGAAGGCGCAGGGACCTGGGACTGCCAAGCCGGCAGCTCTTCGGGCCCTAGCGGGTGGCATTGCCCTTGCATCCATCCCACCCGGTTCAAGTACTGACGCCACAAATGACTCCCCCAGCACTGCCAGGGGTCACTCTGCACCGCTGGGTGGCCCTGAACCCCCAAAACAAACCAGCGAGCTTGCATTTCCTTTACCAATTCAATCTTTACAACAGCCAATAAAAAGGGGAGAAATTCCCAGCACATTTAAAGAGTCAACAATAATAAAAATTAAAAATGATATTCGCTGAATGCTCTCTAGTTGAGTTTCAACAGCGCGGAGGAAGCGGTTGCTGTTTTTTTCATTGAATTACCGTGAGATACACAGTAACAAAGTTGTTGCCGATTGTTTTAGTCAACGTGCCAACACCAGCGCACATTCCCAGCACCCCGCCCCGCCAGCAAGTTAGTTGAGCACCAACTCTGCGCCCGTGCCTGAGTCCGACAAATCAATTCGGGCCCAATCCCATGGCCCCGGCCAGTGCCAGGAACTGTGCTCAGGGCTGTCCAGTTCCCACAGAGCGGCCTAGAGGGCAGATGGGGGCAGCCAGCGCCACTGAGCCTCTTGGCACCCAGCAAGGGTCCAGCAGACGCTGTTTCCCTGGGCCACTGCCCCAGTCCCCGCTGCCCTCACCTTTCAGCGCGCCCAGGAACCGGCCAGGGAAGACCCTGGGGCGCCGAGGGGGGCGCGGGGGCGGGTGGGAGGAGGGTCGAGAGGAAAACGCAAGGCTGCCCCGTCAGAAACGGAAACCACCGCCTGGACCAGACCTGGCCGGTGCCCAGGTGCCCAGGACCGGCGCCCAGGGCTGTCCGGTTGGGAAAGGCGCTTGCTGGGGAGGGCGGGGACGGGGCCAGAGGGAGGGGACAGACCCTGGGAGGGGGACGGGGGGCAGGGCCAGCTAGGGAGGAGGGAGGGAGGGAGGGAGGGGACAGGCCCAGGGAGGGGACTAGGGAACGGGCAGAGTTAGGGGGCAGGGGCCAGGCGCCAGGAGGTGAGGGGACAGGCCCAGCGAGGGGGCGACGGGACAGGCCCAGCGAGGGGGCGACCGGACAGGCCCAGCGAGGGGGCGACCGGACAGGCCAGCCGGGCTTCCGGGCAGCCGGCGGGCGCGCCGAGGGGCGTCGGCCGGACCCGGGTCCGCGGCCGGCGGTCACCGCGGCGGCCGCCCGGGGCGCGACAACGGCGGGACGGGCCGCGGCCCTTCCGGGCGGCCGGCGCGCGCGCCCCACGGCCCCGGGGCGCTCACCTTCATCACCGCCAGGCCCGGCGGCCACCGAGGCTCGGCGAGCGAGTCCATGGTCCCTCCCGGCGGGCTCGGCCAGCCGGCGGCCTCCCGCGCTCCACGGCCACTCGAAAATCCCCGCGCTGCTCGCGCGCGTCATCCGCCCGCGCCGCGGCCGCGCCCCGCGCGGAGCATGCCGGGAGTCGTAGTCCGCGCGCGAGGCCGCCGCTCTGCGCCTGCGCGCGCTGCCCCCGCTCCCCGCCGTGGCCTGGGGTCGGTGCGGGGACCGGACCCGCGAGAAACGGGTGTCCCCGTGCAGTGCCGTGCACCGTCCTCGCTCAGCACAGGAGCTCCTGCCAAAAACGGGAATGGAGTTTCCTGGTTTCCACGGCGCTCAGAGGCCAAGGAGGATTTCTGGACTTAAAATGGAAGCCTTTAAAAAAAAGTTTTTTAATTAAACTAAACTTTTTTTTTTTTTGGATCACTTTTGGAAGTGCTCAGGGGACCAATGGGATGCTGGGGATTGAACCAGGGTGGGTTGCATGCGAGGCAATTGCCTTGATCCTGTGTTATCTCTTCAACCCCAATCCTCCCTCTTTTTTTGTTTGTTTGACTTTCTGGGTCACACCCAGCGGTGCTCGGGGGTTACTCCTGGCTCTGCACTCAGGAATCACTCCTGGCGGTGCTTGGGGGGGACCCTATGGGATGCTGGGAATTGAACCCGCATGGGCCACGTGCAAGTTCACGTGCTACTGTGAACTACTGTGCCATTGCTCTAGCCCCTAAACTAAACGTTTGATTTAAAGTCACTTCTCTTCTTCGGAGCAGCTAGTTCGGGTGATGTTTCCCCATGCAGGTTTCCCAGCGCGGGTGGGCTTTTAGTACAAGTTACTGCATTCAGTGCACACTGCGGGCCATAGCTTTGTTGAGGAGACACATGTCCAGCCCCACGAGTGTGGGCCAGGCTGGTTGCTGTCATGCCTAGAGCTGAGTGTCACTGAGCGGCTGAGGAGAGCAGGCACACTTCGTCCACCCAGGTAGTGAGGTAATGCCAGTAGACTCTCCCTGAAGGCTGTCACCAGCACATCTGCACACTCACCCCTGCCTGGGCACCCCACTCCCTGTGTCCCGCGCCCCCGGGGGTCCCCTGCCCCCTTCTCTGCACACTGAGTTCTGAGTACTTGTGGGTGGCAGGACCGTGAGTTTTGCACAAGTTCCCCCAGTGTCCCTTGGGGACATCTCTCTTGTCATCTGAGGACCAGTGTGCTGAAGGAGACCTCGTCTGAGCCTGGGTGGTCCCCAGGGGCCTTTCCCAGCCTGTGCCCCCGACCAGTCAGTCATCCTGCTACCAACTGCAATGACACAAAGAGCAACCGTATGCGCCCTAGCTGATGCATACCAGGGTGCGAAGCATCATTCTATGGCCCTGGCTCAGGCCTACCCCCGTCCCAGGAGGCCAGAGCCATTAACAGGACCAGGCACCGCGGGGGAGCAGGTGGCCAGCGGAACCAGCTGATGCCCCTAGAGCAGAGGAGCCAAGGGGCCGGGTCAGGGTCAGCACATCTTGTGGTCGACTCCACCCTCTGAGGCTCCCGGAAGCTGCCCCCAGAGGGCGGAAGAGGGGGGCCAGGTGGGTTGTCTCTGCAGCTAGAGCGTCAGGCGATGGACCCCAGGCAGGGGGGTGAGGGAGTGGGGCCACGTGGCCCAGCTCTGGCTGCGGAGGCAGGGAAGGGGAGTGAGGGCTGGGGAGAGGCCAGGAAGGAGGCCGGCCAGGACCCACCTGAGCGGGCCCGCGTTCCTGATACTGGCTGCAGGCAAGGTCATTAGGTTTTATGTTTGTTTGTTCACTTTAATTTGGGTTTTGGTCTGGTTTGGGGCCACTCCTGATAGTTACTCCTGGCTCTGCACTCAGGAATCACTCCTGGCAGTGCTTGGGGGCTGGGTAGCCAGGGATCAAGCCCGGGAGCTGTGTGCAAGGCGCGTACGTTACAAGTCAGGACTCAACCAGTGGCCACTGGTGGCTTCACCTCACCTGGGGCTGTCCAGCCAGAGCTGAGAGGGGGTCTGGGGGCGAGGTGGACAATGGTCCATGCCTGAGCTGGAGGCCATGCTCCCCCCTACCCAGACACAGCCACTCGTGACCTTCCTCCCTGAGGTCCCCATGCACCCCCCACGGACCATGGTGGCAATCGCTGACAGGTGTCACTCACCAGGCTGGAGGCGGGCATCCGTGGTGCCACGGGTCCAGATCTCAACTCCTCCTGGCCAGTGCTCACACCGCAATCCCCAGTCTGGCCCCCAGTGAGGAACCGGGGGTGGGGAGAGCCAGGCCACCAGGCAGGCAGAGTTTGGGCTGCTGGAACAGATCCAATCCCCACGCCATGTCTCTGCTGCTCACGGGGGCAAATCCAGCCCTGAGTCTTGCCAAAATCGGGGGCACGGAATTTAATCAAGCTTTCGGGATCCCAGCTAGGGAGCCCCACTCAGAGCAGGAACGCTAGACCCCCAAAACCAGAAAATGGGTGGCAGCTTGTGGTCAGAGCCAGAGGCCCTGTTCCAGGACAGACGTGTGGCAGAGGGAGCCCTGTTCTGCCTGGCTCACGTCCTGATTCGAACGAGGGAGCCTGAACACACGGGACATTCATTTACTATCATGTGCGGCCGCAGCAGCATCTGATGTAGGGGGAGGCTGGGACATGCGCCCTGCTGTGTATCAGGGCGGTGCCATGAGTTGGCGAGTTATTTGGAAATGTTTTATAAGGTAAAGCAGATTTGGGAAAACGGAGTTGTCCCATCTAGATGATGGCTTCAGAGATAAATTTCACGGTCCTGCGTGAAAACCCCTTCACCCCGCATGCTATCCCGCAAGTGGCCACGCGGGGGCAGTAGCGCACCACAGATGTGGGCTCCAGTTGTGGGAAAGCTGTGGACTTAGGCTGGTGGCCCAGCTGAGCCGTACTGGCGCCCCCTCCCCCAACACACACACACACACACACACACACACACACACACACACACACACACACACAGACTCCTGGGCCCCCTTTAAGCGACCCGAGCCCCAGCATCAATCTCGATGCTCTCCAGGGGAGAAGGGGGGACAGGGCGAGGACACCCCACCCGTGTCTCTGCCCCGGGCAGAGCTGGGCGCCTCGTCCCCAGGAGACACCAGGAAGGAGGTCAGCCGAAGGGAGGGTGGCCCCCGCTGCCCACCTGCTGCCCACCCACTGCCCTGCTCTGCCTCGCCGAGGGCTGCTGTGGCTATGGAGGGTCCAAGAGTTCCTGTCACAGTCCTGTGGCTGCCCTGCCCTGACGGTCCTGAGTGGGCTCTAGTGAGCCGTGTCCAGGACAGAAGCCCCTGGGTCCTGCCGGCTGCCAAGGCCACCGTAGGGGTGAGGGGGGTGGAGTGTGGCCAGGGACCTTGGCTCTTCCTCTCTGGTCCCAGGACTGGGGGCATGTCCTGGTACTCCATGCCTCAGTTTCCCCTCTGTAAAGTAAGTCTCCACCCTGCACTCACCTGCAGAGAGTGGAAATGCAGGGTCACAACCCCCAGGGGTCACGATGCTGGGGGCCAATCAGGGGTTCAGGGTGGGGGCGGAGACGGCCCTAGGTGCTCATCTGGGCCACAAGGCCCCCCAACATCCAGGTGCCGTGAGCCCCAGAGGCTGGACCCAAGCAGACCCCAGCCCAGAGGGAGCGTGGAGTCTTGCGCTGCTGGCAGGACCCCAGGAGGGAGCCACATGTGTGTGTGTGCATGTGTGTGAGTGTGCGTGTGTGTATGTGCGAGTGTGTCTGCGAGTGTGTGCGTGTGCATGTGTGTTTGGAGTGTATGAGTGTGTGCGAGTGTGCAAGTGTGAGTGTGTGCAGGTGTGTGTGCATGTGTGTGCAAGTGAGTGTGTGCGTGTGAGTGTACGTGTGTGCATGTTTGCCCTTTGGTGTCTGGGCCACTCCTGCGCGTGCTCTGTGCAGTACGGACTTTGGACCTGGGGCTCCCAGGGACACTTACTGTGGGGCGGCCAGGACACCTCCGGGTACCCATGATCTGCTGAGACAGGTTTGGGGGTGCGGGAGGGGCCCAGGACTCGCTCAGGCCCATCTCCCAGGTCTCGCTGGCCCACTCCTTATCTTGTTTTGGGGGGTCTGCAGGCACCACCGGGCAGTGCTCAGGGGTCATAAGGGATGCCAGGAATGGAACCCGGGTCAGCCCCATGCCAGCGAAGAGCCCCCCCGCTGTGCTCTCACTCGGGCCCCTCTGGAGGCCCCTGCACTGGGGGCGCGCTGGGGAGAGTGGGCCAGGCAAAGGCATGGAGCACGGCAGGGTGGGGTCGTCCCTGAAGCTGCTCTGTCTGGCTGCAGTGAACACGGGGTTGCCCAGCTCCCAGCCCAAGCCTGGACTGTCCGTGGGCCGTTGGTGCGCGGCCCTCGGCTGGGCGGCTTGTGGTTTGCGATCAGAGGCCTTCCTGGTCACAGGCCGCTCCGAGCTGCGGCTTTGCTGGGCGTCAGGACCCTGCCCCGGAGTTGGGGAGGGGCTTGCCCTGAGGCGCTCAGGACCCACAGGCAGGCTGGGTCTGTTCCTCCTTGCTGCCCACAGAGAAGTCACAGCACAGGAATCACTCCTGGCAGTGGGAACACACGGAGGGGGGGAGGTCCGGGATGAAACCTGAACCTGGTGTGCAAGGCGAGTGCCCCCCCATGCCCCACTGCTATTGTAAGACGTGAGGGGAAGGGTCTTCTCTAGCCCAGGTCAGGACTGAGCAGGACGGTCCACCCTGGGAGCCACCCCTGCAACCCCGGAAGTGTGTGTGCCTGTTACGGGTGCAGCATCGGCCCCTCGTCATCAGATGAGTTTTATCTGGGGGGAGGAGTGTCCCCAGGCACCAGGCAGGGCCTCGCAGTTTGCCTCGAGCAGATGACAGGACGCTGTGCTCTGCTCTGGCCCTGCAGGGCTGCTCAGGAAGGTGCTGAGACCCCATGTGTGCTGGGACCCCCGTGTGTGCTGGGACCCTCGGGACCACCATGTGTGCTGAGACCCCCATGTATGCTGAGACTCCACGTGCGCTGAGACGCCCAGGCCCACTGTGTGTGCTGAGACCCCGTGTGTGCTGAGACCCCCAGGTCACCCCCCGACACAGTGTGAGCCGAGCCCTGGACGCGCCATGGCCTCTCCCGTCCCCTCCGACACGCGAGCACGAGGTCGCAGCCCCCCGCGTCACAGACCCAGGCAGTGGAGGAAGGTCGAGGCTTTATTTCACAGGAGGCTCCACGACAAACCAGCAGGCACCGTCCGAGTGGGCCAGACGCTGCGGCCAGGCGCTGTCAGGCCGGGCGGGGGGACAAAGGGTGCCTGGAGCTGGGCCCAGAGACCCCAGGGACCCTCACTGGGGTGACCAGCAGCTTCCTGGGGTGGCTACGGCCGGTGTGTTCCTGACACGGTTGGGGCAAAGGGAAGCAAAGGAAACGAAAAGACCAGCCGCTTCCGAACTAACCTGGGCCAGACGGAGCCCCTGACCCCTCCCGGCCCCGGGTCCCCTGCCGAGGGGCTCGGGAGCAGCCTGGGGGGCCTGGGGCCGGGCACAGGGCAGGGAGCACTCCCGGAGCAGCCCAGGATGCCGCGTCCCTGCTCCCCATTCCTCCGGGCACCCCGAGGGGGTTAAAAGCCCCAGAGAACTCGGGCGGCTGGCACACGGCGCCGGCATTACCTCTGCACAGCAGAAAACCAACTCTGCCGTCCCCGATCCCCGTGCCTGCCCCAGCCCGGCAAGGCCCCCCAGGGCAAGGACCCCCTGCTTCCTGCTTCGGGGGTGCCAGGAGAAACAGTCACGGGCTCAGGGGCGGAGACTCCGGGTGTGTGAGACCAGGGGCAGACACCCCAGAGCGAGAACCGAGACGGCAGCCTGAGGGTCCCTCCGCGGGTGCCCGTGCCCAGCCCCCAGCGGGCAGCGTGGGCAGCCGGGCCTGGGGAGGGCGGCCGCTGGGCTCCCCCAGGCCAGTGCAAGTCCGGTCCCCAAGCTTGCACTTCCAAAGGCGCTTCGCGGTGAGATGATCGTTAGCAGGGAACAAGGCGGCCGGGACCCCGCCCCCGCTCAGGGGAGGGCAGGGCTGGGGCACAGGGCACCCGGCCGCGAGCTGATTGATCAGATAAAGGTCTTCCGTGGCGCCTGGGCCCCGGGCCCCGAAACCAGGCCGGGAGTGAATTGTCTTTGGTCAGTTTTCGATGAACATCTCGCTGGTTCATTCCCAGAACAGACGGAACACGGTGACACGAGAGACAAGGAGCCGGCCCTCGGCGGGGGTCCAGGGCTAAGAAAATAAATCATCTTGTGAAACAGAAAGAAGGAAAATGCCCGTTGTCAAGGAAGAGCCGAGTGTGGCTTCAGGTGCTGGTGGCCCCGCGCAGCCGGGGCCGTGGGGACGTCTGAGCTGGCCCCGCCCCGCCCCCCGCGCAAGTGCGCGGTACCACTAAGGTGCGGAGCTGGTTTCTACACTGAGCTATCTACTGGTTGCAAAGATCTGGTGGGTGGCATGGTCTGCGATTGAACGGTCGCCTTAGAAAGAAAAAGAACCGAGTTTCACATTGGAACCGTTACTCTCCAGCGTCGAAGCAAATACAGCGATATATAGTGGATTAACACAGGCAGAGGGGCCGGGGCGCCCGCGCTGAGGGCGGGCGGCTTGGGGGCCGGCATGCAGAGTGCGGGGGAGGAGGAGGGCAGGGGAGCACCCCTCCACTGCCCTGCACCTGGCTAGGAGCGGGGTTTGGGGGCTTTCCACCGGGGAGGAATGTGGTGCGGATGGCAGGGAGCTAGTTGGGCCCCGGGAGACGGGGTGGCTGCGTGTGCAGGGCGGAGAGTGGGGAGGGCTGGTGGGCATGGGGGGACCCAGTGCTGTGGGGCGGGCCGAGCGGTGGAGGGGCCACCCCGGGCTTGCCCTTCTGCGGGGGCCACGGAGAGCCAGTGGCTCTAAGTGGGCAGACGCAGGACACAGGCCGGAGTGTCTCTGGGCTCGTGTCCAGCCCATGCGCAGCTGTTGGTGCTTGGGGGCGCTCAGGCCAGACAGCGCAGGGCGAGGCCCACGCTCAGGGCCCTTTCTGAGCAGAACAAGGCAAGTTAGTGGGCGGGCCCCGTTGGGCTCCGTTCCCCACCTCTGCAGCCCCGCCCACGAGGCACGGGGGCCCCAGGGTGTAGTTACCTTGGAGGGGGCCGAGGGGGCCCTGCATGAGATGGTGCGTACGCCTGACTGGGCTGGAGAAGGCCGGGCGGGAGGTCGGGGTGACACTGTCTCACCAGCGGGGGCGGGGCCCCTGTGTGCATGTGATGGCGGGGAGACCCCAACTCTGGAAGGGCCCCGCAGGCCTCGGGAGAGAGGAACGGGTGATGCTGGCAGGAGGCGCGGTGCCCTGGGGCCGGTGGGAGCAGGGCAAGGACACGCGGTCTCCTGAGAATTGGGCCCCGGGCTCTGAGCAGCCAAGAGTCCCACTGAAAACAGGGCGAGGAGGGTCCTGAAGGTGCCCCGGCCCACGCGGAGCAGGCTGGGCAGGGGGGGAGGGACGGGGAGGGGTAGCCCCGGCACCCCCCTGAGCTGAGCTCAGGGGCTCCCACACCCCCCCGATGGAGGTCACGCAGGGGTGACTCTGAGGGCCAGTGTGTGTGACCGAGGATTCGGGCCCGCTCAGTTCCGGGTCCAGCACAGAAGACTGAGTAGAAAGAGGAAACCCAAAAGTGATGGTTCGGAAGGGGGCAGAAGGTGGAGCTTTGCAGCTGGCACGGAGCACTTCCCGGCGAGTCCCGGCCCTGCCCATTCCCCTGCCCTGCACCACTGTCTCCCCTTCAGCCACCAGCCAGAGGCTGCGGCCAGGGCCAGGTCTGAGTGGAGGGGCCAGTGTCTGGGGTGGGTCTGGAGAGGGACACCCCGCACCCCCCTTCCTTCCGGGACGACTGTTCGGGAAGGCCACGGCTTGTGGAGGCGGCAGGGCCGCTGCCACGTGGTTCTGCAGGGAGTGGACTATTGCTTCACTCGCAGCGACCGTGGGCCCGGGCAGCCGACCACAAGAGTCCCTGCAAGCCCCGCCAAGTCACTCGGCGGGAGATGCCTGGTGGCAGGGGTCTGAGGTAAATCTAAGTTTCATCAAAAGAAAAAGGAGATCCCTATGTACATTTAGTACGCGCGCATCCAGGCCTAGTATATGTATAGAGATGCATAAATATATATATACACGCACACGCACACACACACCCCTACTGACCCGCCCGCGCACACATGTGCCCACACGCGCGTACACACGGGCACACGTGCACGGCGCACACACACGCGTACCCTTGGGCACGCGCGCACACGCACAAGGACACACGAGCACGCGTGGGCAGAGGCGCTTCCCGCGCGCAGGGGCCCGAGCGCAGCCGCTGCCACCGTCCCGGGGGGCGCGGACCCCGCGGGGAGGGCCTGCCGCCGCCCCGCCCGGCCGCGCGTCACATGGTGCCCGACTTGTCCGCCGCGCTGTGGGGGAAGAGCTTCTCGGTGGGCGTCACGGCCGGGCTGCCCACGCCCGAGCTGCTGGAGCTGCTGGAGCGATGCTGCACCGCGGGCCGCGCGGGGCGCACCGGGGGCGGCCGCAGCTGCGCGCCCGCCAGCCGCGCCGAGAGCGCGGGCTTGAACGTGGTCATCATCTCGGTGGACGCGCTGCCGCTGCGCCGCAGGGCCGCGTCGGGGTCCCGGATGACGATGGTGTGCAGCGGGCTCCCCGGCTCCGAGCCCACCGGCCCCGGCGGGTGCTTCAGCGGCTCCAGCGTGTCGAGCACCACGTCGGGCGCCTGCTTGGCGGTGTTCTGCCGCTCCAGCTCCCGCAGCTCGTGCAGCGCCGTGCTCATGGTCTTCTCGATGTCCTAGGGACAGAGCCGGTCAGCCTGGCCGTGGCCGCGATGGCCCACCTGCCCCGCCGCCCGACAGACCCGGCTCACGCCCTGGCCCTGCCACCTGCCTCCCCAAGCCTCGGGGTCTTGCTTCGCAATGGCCGGGTGGTGGCACTCCCCCACGCAGATGGACGTGGACAGTGGCTGTGAGCGGCATGGCCAGGCCCGGGGACCCCCAGCAGGTACCCACAGGCGGAGACTAAGGCAGTGGCCAGCAGACAGCACAACCCGTCGGAGCCTTTCCAAGCCGTCCTGGGCAGGCCTGCGCCAGGCTGGACGGCAGAGGCGGCCCTGCTCACTCCCCACAGCAGGGCTGGTGCCGGACGCCAGGTGTCGTCCCCAAGGTCACCCCCAGGCTGTCCAACCCCCACTCCTGACCACGACTGCTTGTTGAAGGTCCTCAGCACTAAAAGACTGTGAAGGGCACCTACGGGAATGTCCATAGCGGAACCTGGGAAGGGCCGTGCGGGTGCTGACCCCAGAGCAGGGGGCGCCATGCAGCCTCTAGGACCCACACCCTTTCCCTCCTGCCAGTAAAACCTCCCACGCCTGCTCATGTAGGAGCACTGAGCCGGAGATATGCCGGCTGCTCCTTCCTGGCCGCCTCCGGCCGGCGGTGGCCACTGTCCTGCCACTGCCGGCAGCCGGGGCTTTTGCTGGCCTCACTGTCCTTGGGCAGAAGCTGGCGGGCCGGCTAGGGGCCGACTGTCTCCCTAGCTTCGCTTCCCACGGGCACCTCTCTCCCTCCGTCTGGCTGGAGGTGGCTGCCAGCGGGGGAGGGGGGGTGCCTGCTGGCTGCGGTTGCGTCCCACCCCGTGTTGAAGTCTGGCCCCCACTGATGCCCTGAGAGGTAGAGTTCGGTCATGCAGGGGATACTGTCCCACCCCACTCCCCTGGCCAGAAAGACGGCCATCTCAGGAAAGCTGCGACGTGTTAGGCGAGAGCCTTGCATCAGTCTCCAGAGCCGGGTGCGGGCGGGGGCAGGGCTGCGCTAGGGGCAGTTTCCTTCCAAGGACGCAGCTCCTCAGGGTGCTGCTCTGCATCCTAAAGGACCTCTGGGGATCAGAGAACTGTGTGCAACTCCATCTACTCCCTGGGGTCCTCTGTACCACTGTCACCCCTGGGAGACCGCCAAATCAAACTTGGCGTGACCCCGAGTGACCTGGAGGTGTCCAGTGTCTCCTGGTGTGAGAATCAGGCTCCGCAGCGCCCCCTGGTGGCCATCACGCAAGGTTCCCCCAGCTCTGTCCTGCCTGAGGGCCACTGCCCACGTCCCCCCACAGGCCTGCCCAGCCACGCTGCACCCAGAGCTTGCCCGGGGTCCCCGGTGGGCAGCAGGATGTGGGCGGGGGAGCATGGAGCTGGAGGGGCTGCTTGGAGTCGGTTCCCCTAGGGTCTTCCCAGCACGGTGAATGAAGCTCTTTGGCCGACAGCTGCCACGCCCCCCACACTGCCTCCCCAGAGACCCTCCCAGCCGGGCTGTCCCCTTCCTGGGGGCAAGGGGGGCTGAGCGGCCCTCCGGGGTCCCTGCTGAGTCCTGGCCTTGGGTGCAGCCCGCCCCGCCTGCTGCCCCGGGCCCTTACTTCTGCCAGGGCCTCGGCCTCCAGGGACTTGTGGTCCCCGAGGCTGCTGTGCCTGGTGGAGCCGCAGGGGGGCCGCATGGGGGGGCCCTCGGACAGCGCCTTCCGGTCGGGGTGGCTGATGCTGCCGGTGCTCCCGAACGTCGCCATCCTCCGCTTCTCGGGGCTCTCCAGGCGCCCCCGGCTCAGGGGGATCTTGTGGGGGCTGCTGGGGCAGGCCGCGGCCCGGGGGGGTGTGTCTATGCCGGGCCCCAAGCCCCGGGGTGGGCTGTGCGTGTCGCCCCCGCTCCGCCGCCTGGGGATGGCCGCTCCGTCCGATCTGAGCCGCACTCTGCAAAGGAGCCGGGGACCAGGCGGGGCGGAGGTCAGCCCGGCCAGCCCGAGTGGGCGCCACCCCCCAGCCGCAGGGTCCCTCGTCGACAGCGGGCTTGGGGTGGACACAGCCCTCGGTGCCCAGGAAGGGGCTTGGTGGGCAGGGCTGCCCACAGGTTTGGCCAGCCGGAGAGCGTCACCTCGGGACACTGGGTGACAGTGGTACCCCCGTCTCCCTGCAGACGGACAGAGCATCTCTGGACACTCCAAGCTGCTGCCCCTGGGCTCCTGCCATCCCCGTGGGGGTACTGGGGCCCTCAGGAGGTGACCCAGCTCCTGCCTCGGACACTCCCCTGGCCACAAGTCCTTCCCGGCAGCACTCAGAAGGAACGGGGTCCCGCGCCCCACCCCGGGGGCTGGCTCTGGCCTCAGAGGCCCTGCAGGGGAGGTGGGGCGGGGTCGGGCACTGCTGGGAGAGCTGGGGAGGTGTGTGCGGGTGGCGTGCTGGGTCCCGGGGACTCAGCAAAGCAACCGGCCAAGCCAAGCGCCTGTGGGGACCCCGACAGGACCAAGCAGAGAAGCTGGGGCAGCAGGGCCCAGAGAGAGAACCAGAGATAGTTCCGGAAAGAGGGAGAGAGGGAAGAGGAGGGAAGGGAAGGGAAGGCTGTGACCCCTACAGTGAGGCTGCGGCTCTGTCCGTGACCCCCGTTCCCGTGTCATCAAGTGAGGGACGCCGTGGAGAATGCTGAGAGGCAGGGACCCTTCTGCTCCCATGGGAGCCGCTGTGTGTGGGGAGGGGACCCATGCCCCCCGCAGCTCCCCGGAACTGGCATCTGGAACTGCGGCACCCTGCTCCCACCCTCCCCTTGCTCTGTGGTCCCGGCAGTGGAGTGACTCTGTATAGCCGACCCTCCCACCACCGGGGGTGGGCAACACCCGCAGAGGGGGGCGGGGCAGGGCCAGGAGCAGTGGGGCCCCGCCCGCCTCTCTCTGGGCCCCCTGCACCCTGGACCAGCTGGGCCCACGTAGCCAGACCGACGCGCCTACCGGCCCATCACGCCCCCGAAGCCGTAGTCAGCGACGTGCTCGGTGGGCGACTGCAGGTCGTTCTTGGACGAGGCCTTGTCATCCAGCAGGGGCCCGCTGCTGGCCTCGCTGTCCGCCTTCTGGCTCAGGCTGTCGGAGAAGGCGTCGTCCCTGGGGGCAAGGGCAGGTCAGGGCGGGACTCGGCCTGCTGCCACGGGCCTCCCGGGGCCGAGGGTGCGGGCAGTGTGGCAGAAGCCAGTAGCTGGACCCCGGCCAGGGCTGGAGCGAGCAGGGGGGGTCACGCCCTGCGGGGCTCAGGCTTTTCAGGACGCCCCGCATGCCCCCTCACGCCGCCCCTGCAGGGATCCCCGGCCCCAAGGGGCTTTTCTCTGGGTCCTAGTTCAGGGCCTCCGGACAGACCATAGGACAGGCTGAACCGTTCCGGGGCTGGATGGAGAACGTCCCTGGTGTCGGGCACTAGCCGGCCGGCTGTCTGCTTGAGGCCCTGGGGAGTGTGAGTGTGTGAGTGTGTGTGTATGCATGTGTAGATGAGTGTGTGGAGGGGTTGCATGAGTGTATGTATGCGAGTGTGTGTATGTGTGTGAGTGTGTGTATAGTGTGCATGTCAGTGTGTAAGCGAGTGTGTGCATGTGTGTGTATATGTGTGCGAATGGATATATATGTGTGTGTATGTGAGAGTGTGTATGTGTATGCATGTTTGTATATGTGTGTGTAGTATGTGTGTGATTGTGTGTGCATATGTGTGTGAGTGGGTGTGTGAGTGTGCGTGAGTCTGTCTGTGTGAATTGTGTATATATGTGTGTATGTGTGAATGTGTATGTGTGAGTGTGAGTGTATGTGTGAGTGTGTGTCTGTATGTGAGTGTATGTGTTACATATGAGTGTGTGTATGTGTGTGTATGTGCGAGTGTGTATTTATGTGTGAGTGTATGTTTGTGAGTATGTGTCTGTGTGTATGAGTGTATGTGTGTGTGAGTGTGTGTCTGTGTATCGGTGTGTGAGTGTATGTTTGTGAGTATGTGTCTGTGTGTATGAGTGTATGTGTGTGTGTGTGTCTGTGTATCTGTGTGTGAGTGTGTCTGTGTATCTGTGTGTGAGTGTGTATCTGTATGTGTATCTGTGTGTCTGTGCATTTATGTGTGCGTGTATGTGTATGTGAGTGTGTCTCTGTGTGTGTGAGGCGGGGGGTGGGGGACCCCAGGCAGACGCTGGGGCTCGGGTGTGGCAGGCGACGGGTCCGGGCGCCTGCTGAGGGTGCCCGGCGCTGCTCCGGGGCAGGCGCGCCACTCACATGTCCTGGACCACGATGTACTGGTGGGGGATGAGCCCGTCCACGCCGTTGTGCCGCCCCTCCCACCAGTCCTCGGAGGCGCGGTGGTAGAGCAGCAGCGACGCCCCCTTCTTGAAGGACAGCTCCCGGGGCGAGCGGCCCACGTAGTCGAACTTGGCGATGGCCTCGATCTGCTCCACCTCTGGGGACAGACGGGCGGGTCGGGGCCAGCCACAGCCGGCAGCGCCGCACAGCCCCGTCTTGCCCAGTCCTGCCCCCGTCCAGCTTCGTCCAGCCCCGTCCTGGCGCCCGGCCTCTGAAGCCAACTGAGCAGCTGCTCGGCCTTCACCCCAGCCAAGTTCTCCCATTTCCCGCGCACCCCTTGGCCCACTGTTCTCCTTAGCGAGTTCAAAGGTCAGCGCCGTCGAGGGTCCAAGGGGGCGCCGCCCTGGGGGACCCCCATGCGGTTTCTGTTGGTCGGTTTGGGTGCACACCCCGCCGTGCTCGGGGCCACTCCTGGCGGTGTGGGGGCCGGGGTCTAAGCCGCGCCCTCCCAGCTGTGCCGGGGCTCTGGGCGCTCTCAACTACCACGTTAAGGAACGCCCTGGTTCCCCAGGGCTCCCAGGGGGGACCAGGCTGTGGCCCGCAATCCCCGGCCCCGGGAGGAGGCGCTGACTCGGGAGCTGCGCGCACAGAGAGGCCCCTCGGTTCTGTCTCCCTCCGTTCTCCCCTCAGTCTCGTCTCTGTTCCCGCCTCAGTCTCTGATTTCGTCCTCCCTCAGTCTCTGTCCCCGCACACAGGACAGCGGACTTTGAGGGCACAGGCGGGCGGCTGCGGCACGGGAGGAGTTGGCTGGGCCTCAGTCCTGAGGCTCCTTCTCCCTGCATACACAGACACACACACACACACACACACACACACGCACGCACGCACACGCACATACACTCGGTCTGTGCTGGGACCTTGGACATGAAGGAATGTGGACATGCATGAGGACTTTTTGGTCTCCTCTGTCCCCTTTTGTGTGCACTCAGGGCTCTGTGTGTGTGTGTGTGTGTGTGTGTGTGTGTGTGTGTGTTGTGTGGCTATGTACTTGGGGCTGTGTGTCAGGACATAGCCCGCACAGCAGGGACCAGCTTCTGTCAGGTTAGGACCACAGCTGCTCTATGAAGATGATGCTAATGGCCCCTGAGAAGCTTCGACAGGAAATCTGCTTTAAGGAGCTGACGCTGGGGCTGGAGCCACAGTGCGGTGGGGTGGACATTTGCCTGGCACTCGGCCGACCTGGGTTCAATACCTGGCATCCTGTATGGTCCTTGAGCACTGCCAGGAGTGACCCCTGAGCATCACTGCGTGTGACCCCAAAAACAAACAAACAGAAAGAGTCGATGTTGCTTGCTTGTGACCCCCAGAGCTGGGGACAGTGGGTGGGAGAGCAGGGAGGGGGCCTGGGGTTAGCAGCCAGTTTCCTCCTGCCGTGGGCAGACAGATGGGGACCTGGCAACGAGACTTCAGGGACGTCATAAAACAAGAAGCGATTGCTTAGCCCTGGAGTAGTCCAGAGGCACGAAGCTCACATCCCCTGGCCAGATGGACAGACAGATCCCATCTCTCAGAGCACAGCGAGGGGCGGGGGTGCCTCCCTCACTCGGAGCTGACCGGGCCGGTCCTCAGCACCACAAATGGTCCCTGGAGCCCGACAGAAGTACTTCCTGTGACTGTGCATCTCACGGCAACTCGAAACACAAAAACCAAAACCAAAAACCAGGGGCTGGAGCAATAGTACAGCAGGCACATGGCCAACCCGGGTTCGATTCCCAGCATCCCATATGGTCCCCTGAGCACTGCCAGGAAAAATTCCTGAGTGCAGAGCCAGGAGCAACCCCTGAGCATCGCCAGGTGTGACCCAAAATGCAAAAAAAGAAGGGGGGATCCCTTAGTGGCTGCAAGAGAGAGTCGGACTCCATCTTGTCCCCTGGGGTCCTGAGCACCCCTGGACCTGACCCCCGGCACCAAGCTCCAAGCAGCCTCCACGCGTCATTATGTGGCCACCAAAGGGACATGAAGACATGAAGAGAAAGTGGAGGAGGAAAGGAGCGCAAAGAGGAAAAAGATGACGAAGGGACAGCATCTGCCCGACCCTGCTGGACGGCTGGAGGGCTCGTCCCCGTTCTCTGCTCTTCCACACGTGAGCGAAGAGACATGCGTGACTCGCTGACGAGGCCCGCCTCAAAGCCATCCCCAGGCCAGTCACATGCCGAGCACAGCGACACGGGCATCAAGGGGCATGTGCCCAGGGCCTCCAGCCTGTGAGAGCAAACTGGCCTGACGGGACGCAGACGTTGCCGGGGACAGCAGGACCGACAGAGTGGTGGGACAGGAAACAAAACTCACGCAGCCGTCACGGCGGGAAGACAGAGCGTCCGACAGAACGCGGCAGGTGAAAACGCTCAGCCAAGCGTGGGGGCCCAACCCCAACGTGGCAAAGGGCATGTGAGAGGCCACGGCTGCTCCCGCCCTCCGCCTGCTGCCCCTCCCAGCTCCTGGCCCCTGGGCAGAGCCGCATCCAGCAGACCCGGGGATGGGGCCAGCACGCCTCGGACTCGGGGCCTCCGGGGCCAGGACACAGACAGACAAGACCAGCCTGGAAGCCGGAGGGGCCAAAGGGCCACCAGCAGGTGAGTGGCCTGCATCCCCGCCCACTCACCTTCGTCACTGGTGTGGGGCTCCGTGCCGTTGTCCTGGTCGGCCTCGTCGATGGTGCCAGGCTCACTGTGGGGGCTGTCGCTGTGGGGGACACGTCAGGGGCGTCACTGCCACCGCCGTGTTCCCTGCAGCCCCCCCGGCCCACCCAGCCCACCGCCCCTCCCAAGGACCCTGTGAAGGACACGTGCTTGGGCGCCCCAGCCCTGGACTCGGCCTCAGGGGGTCGGCTGGCAGGGGAGGTCCCGGAGTGGCAAGTCTGGGGCTCTGCAGGTGGGGGGGGGGGGTGGGGGGACCCGGCCAGAGCTGTCACGGGCGCTGCCCTACTGGGATGGACATTGCATCGGCTCTCTGGTTCCCATGAGCCTCCGCTAAGGGGGGACACGCTGATGGCCGAGTGGACACAGGCCCTGCCCACCTGGCCAGGAGAGTGGCTGCTGCAGCCGAAACGTGTCTTGAGGGACCCGGGCAAGAGTGGCAGAGGGTGGGCGGGGGGCTTCCCGGGGGGGCGTGCCAGGACACAGCGGGCAGACACAAGCCTCTGCCTGCTGACCAAGCCCCGGGATTTCCTGTCCTCGCCGTGTGGGGCTTGAGCATCCAGGTCAGCTTGCCCAGGGCAGGGTGGCCGCCCCAGCTCTGAGGAGCTGCACTGTGACCGGGCACACGGGGACCCACCCCAGGGGCCGCCCTGAGGCCCCGCAGGGCCTGGACGAGGCCACTCAGGCCCCGGGCGCCGAGCCTCGCCTTGCCTAGCCAGGGGAAGCTGTTCACTGACCGGGCCCCGAGCTCCCGTGGGGGCAGCAGGGAGGGAAGCGCCCCCTGCCGGCGGGGTGGCGGGCAGCGTGTGGGACCACGGGGGTCTCACCAGTACTCCTCCCCGCCCGCCATGCACTTCTCGTAGACGGGGCCCTCGAGCTCCCGCGGGCTGGGGAAGATGGCCTCGTGGTGCGTGATGATGGTCTTGATGACCTCGTTGACGTGCGCCTGGCAGGACACGGGGTCCTGGCCGTCGGGGATGTGCACGAGGGTGGGCCCGAAGCAGATGGCCAGGTTGTAGGGGTCCATCATGTTCTCGTCGCTGTACTGTGAGAGGCTGCGGGGGGTGGGGGGGCGCTCATCACCGCACAGGCCGACTGAGATCTCCGAGGGGCCACGGCCGGGGCCCAAGAGCACAGTGGTTAGGGCCCGTGCCCAGCCTGCGCCCGGCCTGGAGGCCCCTGGCACGGCGAGGGGGTCCCGGGGATCCCTAGAACCGCCTCCCTGGGCTCTAGTGCTGGGCAGACACGTGCTGGTTGGGGAGAGGGACCGAGGGGCGCTGCTTTGGGGCCCCCCACCCTCGAGGCCATCACTCCTCAAGGGGCCTCCCCGCAGCCGAGGGTCCCAGCAACTCACTGGTTCAGGAAGGCGAAGAGGTAGCGCATGACCACGAGGACGGCGCGGGGGAGCGTGATGAGCGTTTGCTGGATCTGGTGCACCCGCTCAGCAGGGTTCTCCAGCTCTGGGGGAGAGAAGGGCTCCTGGCGTGTGGACCCCCAGGGGCTGCCTGCCGGGGCGCCGGGGGCACAGACCCCCACCTGCTGCCTGCCGGGGCCTTCGGGGGCACAGACCCTTCACTCACTGGCTGGGGTCCTGGGGATCCTGGGACGTGGACCCCCACCCTCAGAGACTCCTGGGGGCACAGACCACCCCCAACGTCACGCCTGGTGGTCCTTCTTTCCATCCCGTCCCAGCTGCTCGGAACAGGGTTGGGTCCGGGCGACTGTCAGGAGGGACCCAGAGATGGTGCCGTCCCCGCGGCACTGGGGCCCTCTGGGGCAGCGGGGTCACTGCAAAGAGGAGCCTGAAACTGCTGGGCAGAAGGTCGGGGCCCTGCAGAGCCTGGACTGTGCAGCCCTGGCCACGCACTCACGGCCTCCAGATAGGACATGACTAGGCACCCCGGGGGCTCAGATCAGGACACAAGTCCAGGCCGGACGGATGCCAGGGTCTTGCCCTCACGCCCGCGTGCTGGGGCCCAGCTGGCTCTGAGGGAGCAGGACGCAGCCCTGCCTGGGGCACCCGCCCAGCCCCTGGGGGTCCTGGCCCCAAGAAACTGGGATGCCTGCTGACCCCCTGTGGGTCGTGAGGTCTGCACTGAGATGGGGCCAGTGAGCTGAGACTCCCACGCGTGGCCAGGGCAGGGCACGCCCGTACCCACAGATACGCCCCAGCCCGTGGACTGGTCCTCCTGCTGCCCTACTCGCCTGGACACTTCCCTATCCCCCCACCCCCACATACACACATCTTCCATGGTCCCCAGCGCCTACCGGAAGCCTGCAGGGCCCCTCCAGGTCACCTCTCTCTTACTCTACGGGCTCCTGTGAGGCGCTCGGGTCTGTGTCCCCAAGCTTCCAGGATGGGGGGGGGCGGTCTCCCAAACCCATTCCCACGGGAATCGGCTCCATCTCTCCCGATAGACCGGGCTCCCCCCGGCCCTCCCCCCATGCCCCGGCTCATCTGGTTGCTGCCATGGGGGCCCAGCCCGGCCTCCCGCCCGCCACCTCCGCCCAAGGTGTGAAGGCGCAGAACAGACCGCCAAGGACAGCTTCTTGTGGGGACGGCCCCCCCAGGCCCGGGTGGGGACACTCACTGATGGTAGATATTAAGTCTTGGAACCTTTCCTGAGGAAACAGCGGGTTCTCCAGTCCCCGGAAGTAGAGTTTTAAAACCCCCGCGACGGAATTGATATCGCGCTCGTTCTGGTCGTCCAGCAGCGGGTCCTCGCCTGTGTGGGACAGGGTGAGGCAGTGTCAAGGAGGTGGCATGGCCCCCGGACACTGCCGCAGGGAGCAACCCGCGAGGGGGCCGGGGAGGGGGCAGAGGCTCAGATCTCTGCAAAAGCCGAAGAGCAGAACAGGGCACACCTGCCCCCTCCGAGCTCCCCGCGTGCCCACCCGGCCACGCTCCCTCCCCGGGGCTGTTGGGATGAGGGTTCCTGAGAACACTTTGTGGCTGCGTGACCCTCCCGATGCTGTGCCCATACCCACACACCGTCCTCGTGGTCACGGCGCTGCACAGACGTTACCCCAAGGCCCAGCCCCGCGCAGCCCTGCCTCCACCTGCCTGGTGTCCCTGCGCAAAACAGCCTCACCACTGTCATCTGTGCTTAAAGCTTGGCCCTGGCCTCTGCTCTGGCTTTCTCTGGCTCCACTTCCTGCGAGGGACCCACAGGGCCCCTGTGCCTCCGCCAACTTCCTGCCACTTGGGACCCACCCGGCTGCTCCCAGGGGGTGCACGGGCGTGGAGGGCGATGGCGGGGGCTCCCCGTCGTGACGAGGGGGAGACGCGAGTTTCACCCACAGCCCTGCAGACTCCCGAGCTCCTGCCCCGAACCAGGCCCAAGGGACAGGGCCTGAGCTGGGCCTGGGGCAGGGAGGGGCCGTCCACGCTGGAGGAGCCGCCCCCACACCCCAGCCTGGTGGAGGCAGGGAGCATCCGTGGGCTGGAAGCACAAAGGACAGCTGAGGACCCCACGGCTTCGTGGACAGGGCAGTCCCGTATACACAGGACACGCACACTCACACACATGCACACACTCCCCACAGACACGCACTCTCACACAGACCCCAACACACACATGCGCACATACACCCTATATACACACCCTCCGCATATGCACACACACTCACACCCACTTGCCCCAACACACATGCACACGCACGCACACTCTCACGCACACTTACCCCACACACATGCACACACAGACCACATACACACACATGAACACACACTCACACCCACTTACCCCCAACGCTCATGCACACATACACACACATGTCCCCCACCCATGCACTCACATGCACACTCACACACAGATACACAGACACACACTCATTCCCACACATGTGCACAGTACACACGCTCATGCAGATGCACCCACACTCACACTCACATGCACACGCACACTCACACCTGCACTCTCACCCTGCCACACACACACACACACACTCATCCCCCCCCAACACACACACGTGCACACCCGGCTCATAGGAAGATCCCGAAAAGAATGTTCCAGAAAGAGCTTGAAATTTGGGGGACACGGCGCTCCAGGGAGCAGGGCTGGGTCTGGGCTCCCGAGCTTGCCAGGGTCCTGCAGAGACAGGCAGGAGCAGCGTCCATCAGGTCAGTTCCCGCCCTCTGCTGTGAGGGGCGGGGCGAGGCCGGGCTGGGCAGGGGCTGGGCCGGCCCCATCGGGCGCCCCCTCCCCAGAAGCTTCCTTCCCGGGGGCGCAGGAGCACTGAGGGAGGCGCGTGTGCTGGCCTGCTGCCCTCATCAGGGCAGAGCCACGGATGCGGCCTGGGCGAGACGCGGGCACGAGTGGCCGACCCACCCGACCCACCTCTCTCAAAGGAGTTCTTGATGTCGTTGACCTCCACCTGGGAGCCGGGCACGCGGAAGATGCCTTGCTGCTGCAGGCCTGCGGGGAGAGAGCCGCGTGTGGCCAGGGGTCCAAGCCCCGTGCCCGCGCCCCGCCCGCACAGGGGCCCCGGGAAGGCAGGGCAGTGCCCACGAGGCCTGGTCCTGGGTCTGGGCCGGGAGGGAGAGCTGAGGAGTGCAGGGATGAACGATGGCTGCAGGGGGCGCTGTGCCCGCCCCGGCACCACCCCACGCGCCTTTCCTTTCCCAGAGAGCAGCGAGCCGGGGGCCGGCTGCCGCAGGGGGGTGTATGAGGGGAAGCAGTCTCTGTTTCCCAGGTTCACAGACGGCGGTGCCCGGTCCTGTAGGCTCAGGGGGCGTATGCGGTGCTGAGCGGGAGCCCGGGTGGGTCGCACGCGAGGGCAGTGCCCGCTGCTGCTGTCTCTCCAGCCCCAAGACTAGATTCTACTTCTTTTTTTCTTTTTGGGTCACACCTGGAGATGCTCAGGGGTTCCTCCTGGCTCTGCACTCAGGAATTACTCCTGCGGTGCTCAGGGGGGACCGTATGGGATGCTGGAAATCGAACCCGGGTTGGCTGCATGCAAGGCAAACGCCCTCCCTGCTGGGCTATCGCTCCGGCCCTGAGACTCGACTCTTCAGGAATCCTCCCTCCCCGCCTCCTGTGGCACAGGCTGGCGCACACGCAGTCATGGGGCCCCTGGGGAGGGTGCCCGGCACAGTGCCACGTTGCAGACCCCTCCCCGTGGGTCCCGCTTCATCTAGAACCCTCCCGAGGACTCAGGCTGCGGCTCCGAGTGCTTCCCGCCAGGCAGGTGCCCAGGAGGCAGCCCCGTCCCCTTCCCGCCACCCCCGGCCGTGTCCCCTCATCCTGAACGTGGGGGTCTCTTATGCTCTGGCCCCCTGGGCCCCCACCCCACCTGCACCTTCAAAATCTCCACCTGAGGAGTCACCTGGGCTGGCGGGGCGGGTCCCTCAGGGTCCCTCAGGGTCCCTCAGGGCTGCTGCGGGGGCTCATCGGGGGTGGGCGCAGGCCCAGTGCCCGGAGGGGCCGTCTCCTCCTGGGCACTTTGGCTGGGTCGCCTGCAGCTACTGGAGTGCGAGGGAGGGTCGGGGCTGCCCTGTCCATGGCCTGGGGGGGCAGGGAAGGCCCCCAATGCGTCCCCCACCCCCGGCCCGGGCCCCGGAGCTCACCGTACAGATTGATGTACCGGATGCAGCTCTCCACCACCAGCGGGATGGCCTGTCCCGAGTCCTGGGGAGAGAGACGCGTGAGTGCGGGCGCGGGGCACACCCCACCCTCCCCGCCGGAGGGAGACAGGCCCACACGGACGGACAGACGGACGCACGGACAGACGGACGCACGCGGTGCTCAGGCAGCACGTGGGTTAGTACGCTCAGAGGAGGAAGCGAGCGGGGACGCTGGCCCTGAGGTGCCCACACACAGCCACACGAGACAGCACAGCTCTGCCGTGTTAAAGAAATGCTCGCCTGCTCCTGACGTGCCCCCTCCGCTCCGCCCTGCCCCCGTGCCACCTCCGGGGCCCGACCTGGTGCCAGTTGGGGTCACGGGTGCTGGCCCCCGAGAGTCTGCTCAAGGCCACTCTCCACGTCCCAGTCACACAGCTGGACACCGGGACTCGCAGTGGCCACAGACGAGAGGCCGCTGGACGGCCACACGCTGTGGGGAGAGGCTGGAGGCTCAGGCCTCTCCGGGGCCGGGGGCAGCTTCTGCGGGGCCTCCCTAGGCCGGGGCCTCTCTGGGGGTCTGGCCTCGCCGTTCCTCAGGCCCCCCGGGAGGACATCGTGCGTCTGAAACGCTCGTCCCCGGGGGCAGACGCCTACCGCTGGGGCGTGGACAGGCCACTGCCCTCCAGCCGGGGCGCATGGGGGCCTCCTTCTGGGCTGGGCCTCTTGGCCCGTTGTTCTAGAATGTGCCATGAGACACAGGCTCCAGCCAGAGCTAAGGGGCCGGGGGCCTCTCCAGTAAATACCTGGTTCCTGGTTCGAGCATTTCTTCTTCCTCTGATAACAAACAAGAGAGAGGCAGCGGAGCAGGAGAGAAAGACAAGGTTACGCGAGTCGGGGCATCCCGGGAGCAGCCGGCAGATCCGCGAGTACCGCGATGCAATGGCAGCCGCGCGGCCTGGGGCGCTGGGCCCTGCCCTGCCAGCCGTCCAGGAGGCGCCACGCACGGCGCCCACCCTCGGGAGCCCTCGGGAAACTGGTCTTGGGCAACGGCAAATGCCACCCAGATGGTGCTGACCGCGCGCCCGGGGACTGGGGTCCGGAGGTGGAGGCCCAGGCTCCAGGCTCCCCCCGGCTCCCTGAGACTCCCTGCCCTGAGACCCGCTCGGCTGTGTCTGTGTCCGGGGCCCCGAGCTGGGGAGGCCCTCGGGGCTGGGGTGCCTGGGGGTGGGGTGGGCGTCCCTGCAACATCCCTGAGGGAGCGAGGGGGCGGTGTGTATTCTGGACCGGGCTTTGCAGTGCTGGACTCAGAGGTGCTGTGTGCACCCAGGTCCTCCAGGGGGCAGCACTGAGCACCAGAAAGTGCTGCTGGTCCCAGACCAGGTTCATGAACTGTCCACGCATGACCTAACTGCACCAACACGTGCCCTCCTGTCCCCAGCCCCTGCCCCCCACTGTCCCTTCCACGGTCCTTGGTCCCCATCAAGTCCTGCTCCCTCTCCCGCCGCGCCCTGTGCTGTCCTCCCCATCTGAGGATGGAGGCTTGAGGGCCGGCGCAGGTGCAGCCCCCACTGCCCCTGAGTCAGGAGAGTCTCCAGACCCGGGACTTTTCCCAGGGGTGGAAGCTGCTGTGGGGCTCCCGGGGCCCGGCAGGGACTGTCCCTCCCATGCCATGAGGAGAATCGCCCTCACTCCCCACTCACGGCTGCCCCTGTTGGCTCCATCACCCTCCTAGTCCACCTGCGCCTTTCCCCCTTGGACCCCAGCAGCCAAGAGGCAGAGACGTGCTCTGGGCCGGCACCGGGGGCCATAGGGCCCCTCTGCGGCTCTCCCGCCCCCCAGCTCCCACAGACGCCGACCAGGGGACGGGGCTCAGGGCCGCTAAGGAGGAGTATTTCCTCCACAGCTGCCTCCTGGGATGCGGGGGGAGGTTGCTCATCTGTGTCCAGGGTAACACACGGGGGCATGCATGTCCGCATACTGGGTAACACACGGGATGTGTGTGTGTGTGTGTCCATGTACTGGGTAACTCACGGGGGCATGCGTGTCCGCGTACTGGGTAACACACGGGATGTGTGTGTGTGTGTGTGTGTGTGTGTGTGTGTCCATGCACTGGGTAACACGCGGGGGTGCGCGTCTGTGTCCTGAGTGACATGCGGGGGTGGGGTGGGAAGGGCTGGCTCCCGCCCACACTCCTCTCGGCCTCCCTCGCCCTGGGGTCCCCGCGCCCCGAGGCTGCGGGCAGGGACTCAGTACTGGCACTCCCCCGCCCTGGGCATCAGCGGTCTCAGCACCATCTCCTCCCTCCCCGGGGACAGCGGGGGCCGGGGGGCTGCGGGCAGGGGCGGCGGCGGGCTGGTGGGCTCCGGGGCGAGGCGGCCATTGCATCGGGCACACGGCGGACGCTGCAGCTCCCAGCCAGTACCTTAATGAACGCCTCCATACAGCCGTTAAACAGCTTATGGCTACACACTGAGAGAGGCCTAGGTCTCCTCATTTTCTGTGGCTTAGGGGGAAGGCAGGGGGGCCTAGGGGAAAACGAACAAAAGAAATCAAGAAAGCAACGAACATAAACGCCCGAGCGGGGAAGCTGCGCTCCGGCCGGCTGGAGGAGACGGCGGGCCCCGGGCATCGGCACCCACGCCCAGACCCCCGCCGCGGGGTTGGCCGGCCCGACGCCCCACGCCGGGGGCCGGGCCGCGCTCACACGACACAGACACATTCTGATTCAGGGGGCAGGGACACGGCACGTGTCCTGGAAACCAGCGACATGCCCATCAGAGGCGGCCGCCCTGCCACGCCAACCGGGGCAGAGAGAGGCGAGCCGGACCCCAGGAAAGCGAGAGACTCTCAGAACTGACGGGAGAAGCTGGCCACCCTCACGCTGCTGACCGAGAGGCAGCCACGGCTCTCCTCATTGCAGAGAGCATGCGACTGGCGCCAGGAGCCTGGCAGCAGCGTCTTTGGGGGCTGCAGTCGGCTGGACGCGGCTGGAGTTGAGTTTTCCCTTTCCCTAAAAACGCTTTCAAGTCTGTGATCACACATCAGCTCGACCCTGCCCGCAGGGGCCCGTTTCACAGAGGCGGAGACTGAGTCCCAGCCCCAACCTGAGCCCGGCTCCTTCCTGGGCTGGTCCCCAGGGGGCCTGGCCTGCACCTGACTCTGCCCGTCAGCTCGTCCCCACGGCCCCACAGGGTGGGGTGAAAGTGTCTCGCTTTCCTGCCGGTCTCCCGTCCTTGAGCTGCCCCTTGGTCACAGGAGAGGACACGGGACGGGGCGACGGGCCCAGACCCCGGCCTGGTTTCCAGGGCCGCTCACCATGCATGGGCCTGGGCTGGCTTTGCTCCTGGGCACCCCGGCTGGCTTAGCCTCCCCGGGCAGAGCTGCCCGTTGGCACACGGCTTGGCTCATGATCTGGAGAAGCAGCAAGTAGAGCCCCAGCCGGGCCCGGGTCAAAGAACTGGTCCCCGAAACCGTGGTGGGGTCTGATTGGGCACGAGTTCGTGCAGACCGGGGGCCCAGGTGGGGGGCAAAGGAGGCCCAGGAGATTCCAGCCGCCCCTGCCCCTGAGCTGGTACGCTTTTCCCTCCCAGCAGCCCTACCAGCCAGGGACCCCCTCGGCCGCGTGGCCCGGGACGGGGTTCGAGCAAAGTCTGCGCCCGCCAGGCCATGCATGAGCCAGGCACCGCTGAATCCCGCGAGCATGCCAGGGCACCAGGCGCACAGCACGAACCCAACTCCGGGAGGGGAATAGCAGCAGCAGGCAAGACGGTCTCAAGCTCATCCTGGCTCTGAGCCAGCCCGGTTAGCTAAGTCCGCGTCACATCTGTGTTCTCGCTTTGGGGGGTGCGCGCGTGGGCGGGCCGATGCGGCAGAAAGGAACCCGCTTCCCAGTTTGCCAACGCCCAAGAGAATCTCAGAACCGTGGCACCCTCCCAAAGGGGAGTCCCTGGGACGGGACCGGGCGGCGGGACCCCGAGACCAGTGTCTCAGAGGGGTCGGGGGTTCCGGTTCTGAAGGCCTCAGCTCCCGTCTCCTCCCACACCCGCCGCGGCAGGCATGAGCAAGCAGGAGGCACGCGAGCACGCGGGGGCTCAGGTCGCTCAGGGTCACAGAGATCAAGGTCCCACCCTGGGTCCCGGGAAATGGATTCTGATCCATTTTTATCCCGACACCCAGCAGGAACATTATCTTCTGCTGCACGCCCGTGGCCGGCAGGAGTTGGGAGTCTTACCTCAGAACTGGACACCCCACGTTTTAAAAACTGAGGGTACCTGACTGGAGGCCTTTTTCCAAATAAGGCCTTTTTTACAGTTTTTCCCCCTTGAAACGTACAAACGGCACGAAGACAAGGGAGCCTGTTCCCCCCACACCTCCCGCCCTGTGGGGACGCCTCGTGCCCGGGAGATTCTCTGACCAGGAGACGTAGCTACCCCCACTCTGACGAGCCCGACCCGTCGGCGACTTACTGGAGTGCTGGGTGGGGCAGAAAGTGGGGAGCGGGGGGGCAGCTGAGCCAGGGGAAGTGGGGGAGCCTAAGCCTTCCGTCTCTTCTGCCGCTCAGGCGCAGAGCAAAGGGAAAGAAAGGAGAGAGGCAGAGAAAACGGGTACAGCGCGCGGGGTGGGGGAGGGGAAGCCGGGGCCAGGACCCTCCTGCTCTCTCCCGGGACGAAAATGCACGGGACGGTTTCTCCGGGACTCTGTGTCACACAGGGCGGGGCTCATACTCTCCCCCTGGTGGTCCGCGGGCACCAGCACCCAATCCGGTGGCACCGCCGTGGCTCTGCTGGCCCTGCCTGGGAGCGTCTGGGGGCAGGAGCCGCAGAGACCTCCCCGTAGTGCAGGCCACGGGCCGGGGCACCAGCGCCGACTTGACGACCCTGCTCAAGCACAGGTGGCAACTGCGTGACCCCCACACCTGCCGAGGGGGGGGGGCTAGGGATGGGGCCGGGGCCGGGCGGGGTGGGGCGGGGCTGACGGGCAGAAGCTGATCCACTCTCCGAGGCCCACGGCTTCCCCCAGGACACCACAGGGGCAGCAGAGAATGATGGGGATGCAGAGAGCCACGGGTGGAAACAGCTCCCGCTGCATTTTAAAACCACACCCACATCGGCTGCATGCTGAGCACTGAGTACTGAGCACCAGGCGACACGACACGCTGGGCATGGTTGGGGGAAGTCAAGGCAGGTGTCGGCCAACTTGGTTAGTCTGCCGAAGCGGCTGCTCTGACTGTGCTCCACTCGAGTGGTGGGCGTAAAGTCTGTGTGAGTGTGTGTGTGTGTGTGTGAGTGTGCCTGTGTGTGAGTGTGTGTGAATGTGTGTGAGTGTGGGGTGAGTGAGACTGTGTGTGAGTGTGTGAATGTGTGTGAGGGTGTGTGTGTTTGTATGTGAAGTGTGTGAGTGTCTGTGGGCTGTGAGTGTGAGTGTGGGTGTATGTTGTGTGAGGGTGTATGTGAGTGAATGACAATGTGTGTGTGGGTATGAGTGTGTGCGATTGTGTGTTTGTGTGTAGTATGCGTGTATGAGTGTGCGAGTGTGTATAAGTGAGTGAGTCGGTGTGTGTGTGGTGTGTGTGAATGTGAGTGTACGAGTGTGTGTATGAGTGTGTGTGTGTGTATGCGTGTGCGCGTGTGTGTATGAGTGTGTATGTATGAGTGTGTGTGAGTGTATGAGTGTGTGTGTATGAGGGTGTGAGCATGTGGGGGGGTCTCTGAGTGTGGCAACCCCAGCTCCGATTTCCAGGCCCTGGGTCCCAGGGGTGTGGAGGGAGAGTCACTTCTCAGTGCTCCCTTCGTTTGTTTGGGGGCCACAACGGGTGGTTCGGGGGACCCTGTGGGGTGCCGGGGATCCAACCCAGTGGCTCAGCCGTGAGCACGGGCGCCCCCCCCCCACCCTGCTGTACTGTCTCTGTAGCCTGCCCCGTTTTCTGTTGTTTTGTTCCCACCCTTAACTCTGCTTCAAGATAACCTTGGACACAGGCCAAGGGTGCGGTCACAGGTTTTCCTGGAATCAGCTGGAAGGACCTTCTCGGGCAGATGACCCGAGACTCCGAGACTCGGGAGGGAGGGAGGGAGGGAGGGAGGGGAGACTCGGCCCCCCCGGCTGCTCTGTTACCCACAGTCTTTGGTACAGACCGTGGCTTTCGCTCTCTGGACAACAGATTCTCTCAAGGAGAGACTTAGTCAGAGGTTTGCTTCTGAGAGGCCTTGAGGGTGACCTGGTCACCTCTGCTGGCCAGTGCCAGGGTGCCCGGCTGTGCCCAGACTGCAGGTCCAGGGCACGGGTGCAGGGGTCTCTCATACTTCCCTGCCAGGCCCCCAAAACCCGGAGCCTTGAGCCTCTTCCAGAGACAGTCGGGAGCTCACCCTCCCTCTGGCCAGGAGCAGATGGTCGGGTCTGGGACTCTGGGCTCCCGAGAAGAATCTGTGGGGAAGGGGTGCTGGCCCGGGGCTGGGTCTGGCGGGCGCAGAGGGTGAGCTACTGCGGGGCACTCAGAAGCGCCAGGCGCAAGGCAGCGTGCGTAGCTGGACTGTGAGGGAGCGGGGGAAGGGGGGGAAGGTGCCCCAGGCGGGTGGGGTGGGGGCAGCGCAGGGCTCTGGTCTGCAGGAGGGGGGCTGGGGCGCGGGGCAGGGGTGGCAGGGAGCAAGCCGGAGAAAAGCAGAAGGCGCCCGTTACCCCAGACTCTGCCCAGGGCTCGTGCGCCTGAAGCCGGGGTGCGGCAGGGGAGCGGCGGGCATGCGTGAGGGCCGTGTGTAGGGGCGAGCCTGGAGGTGTGTTTCATGAGCCGGACCCAAGCCGAGGCGAACGGGACCCCTGGGCTGCACCCCAGTTGGCCCAGAGTTCACGCAGAGGGGAGACGCGTGACCCCCTCTCCCTGCTCCCTGCAGCGACCCTTGGACTCTGTTCCCATCCTGCCAGGGGGACTCACGGGGACCATGCACCCCCCTGGGGACCCCCCTCCCCCTGGAAAGCTTTCCTCAGCTGCAAGGAGCGAAGCAGCCAGGGCAGCACCTCCGTCCCCTCTCCGCACAGCCGCTCCAGCCTGGGGACACGCGGGAGGGCTCCCCCTCTCTGACACCCCCCACTCGGCCGCGCCCTCCCCGCCCACCGCGTGGCTCTTACCTGGTGGTGCCGCATTCCGCTCTCTCCCCTGGAAGAAAAGGGCGCTGGGTTACGACTGGGCCAGAGAACGTTCAGCTCCCTGGAAACCAAGACGTCCTGGCCTTGGCTCTGGGAGCCCCGGGGAATCTATCACGCCCAGGAGCCACTTCCCACGGCGCCCTTGCCGCAGATGTCCACTTCGACAGCCCACAGACTGTTTTCCGTTGACCGCCTGGCCTGGACGCCAGAGGCTCCAGCTCAAAACGCAGTGTCTTGGCCTCCCGAGGCGGCCGGGATGAGAAACTAGGAAAGACCGGCTGCCCCCAGGGCCGAGTCCTGCCCTGCCCAGACGGCAGCTGCAGGCAGAGAAGGAAAGGTTCAGTCAAGTGGATGCGTCCACTCTGCAGCGGGGTGGGGGGGGGGGTCAGTGTCCATCTAGAGCCAAGATCTGGGGTCAGCTAGTGGCCTGGCATGACTAGTGGGCACCTGGTCTCCTGGGAACTCAGTCACGGTGCCCACCCCCAGGGGTCCCCAGCTTGCCCTGTCCAGCACATCTAGACGACAGCGGCCAACAGCACTCAGGGTCAAGGTCCGCACACCAGCGCGTCTGCCCCCGTCCCTTGGGCCGGAACCCTGCAGACCCCCTGCCCCCACGTCCCCCTTCCTGACTTTGCACACGAGGCTTCCCAACATCCTCCCTGACTGACAGCTGGCTGAAGCCCTCGGCCCTCTGTCCCGGCCCGCTGTCACCTGCCTGGGGTCTGTCTCCTTCACCCCCAGACACGGCCAGGCTGGAGCTCAGCCCGTCTTCCGCCTGCGGCTCTCACCGGCTCCAAGCTGGCTCCTTCCCACCCGGCTCTGCTTACAGCAGGGAGGGAGTGCGCACACCCTGTGCTTGGGGATGGAGGGAGAACAGGGCGGGAGGAGGCGGTGAGCAGTTCCAGGACGTGAATCCCGGGCCCCTGTGACCCACGCACCCAGGACAGACTGAGCCTGGCATGAACCTCAGACCCCAGCCAGGCCCCGGACTCTGTGCCTGCTGCTCTGGGAGGTTCCGCCGTCTCTGCTCCTAGCATTAACGTGGAACGTGCCTCCATCCCACCTTCTGGGCTTGGGGCTGGGGACACACTCTAAAGCAAGTGGCTGGCCGTGCTCTGGGCTCCCAGGGACGCTTATCTGGTCGGTGGGTGAGTTGATCCTGGCCTGGTGAAAGCGTGTCCCCCCCAGCCAGGGACCAGGCACCCCTCCCCCTGGGGGCCACAGGCAGCGTGAGACACACCCCTAGAACGACAGGCAGCCCGGAGCCGGCCATGGTTGATGTCAGCTCTGCCATGCCGGACAGAGGGCACGGCAGTGGCCTGGCTGTGGAGTCGTGGACCAGAGGGTGGGGGGCTGCTTGCAGGTCCCCCTGGGCCCCCATGTTTGGGCATCCAGTATCCGTTTATGCAAATGTGACCCCAGACCTTGTATCCTCACCTTGCGGTTTCTCTCAGGCCCACACAGCGGAGCGAGCGAGGCCGGCAGAGCTCAGCCCCGGGATGTGGGGAAGCATCTACCCTGCTGCCACTTCTAAAAAACAACTGAGGGTCCCAGCATCCCTCCCACCCCCCATCCCCCCCGTCCCACCCTGCCTCTGTGGCAGGGCATTCCCCCTTGTTCTCTCTCTCTTCTTTTGGATGGGCACTGGTGGAGGGATGGGTACTTGATCATTGTATAACTGAAACCCAAGCACAAAAATTTGTAAGTCTACAACTGTACCTCATGGTGTTTCACTAATAAATAAATAAAAATAAATAAATAAATTAATTAAAAAAACTGAGGGGGATGGAGCAATAGCACGGCGGGGAGGGCGTTTGCCTTGCATGCGGCCGACCTGGGTTCGATTCCCAGCACCCCAGAGGGTCCCCGGAGCACCGCCAGGAGCAATTCCTGAGTGCAGAGCCAGGAGTAACCCCTGTGCATTGCTGGGTGTGACCACCCTTCCAAAAAACCAAATGAAACGAAACAAAAACTGGTTTCTTTGGGCCATGGTGTAGGAGAAACCGAGGCAGGGCCATGATGCATCGTCCCAGGCAGCGTGCTCCACTTGGCCCTGCATTTACTTCACTGCAAACTTTCCAGACGGACCCCCCCCCCGCCCCCATGTAAAATTAGATCTCCAAGGACCAGAAGACAAAAGCAACCCAAGCCCGACTCAGAGGCTTGTGTCCGGGGGGAGGGGCCTCGCAGACAGATGAGCCAGGGTGGAGCTCCATGAGCCCCTCACCCCTCACCCCTCACCCCTCCAGCAGAAGGGGGGTGTCACAGCTCTCATCTTCTCCGTCACTCAGAAACTCTGCAGCCGCCTGGCTCCAGCCCGAGGAACGTCCCAGCATCCCTCCCGGGCACGGTGCAACTCCCTGACTCTCCCGCACCGATGGCTGTGCTCCAGCCACTCCGAGGGGGAGGACCAGGGCTCCTCCCACCCGCTCTGCCACAGCCGCCCTGGCTCCGGGGTCCTCCCGAAGCGCATCTCCCCCTCAGCAGCTCAGCAAGGCTGTGATGAGAACACCCCCAGAGAGCCTGTGACAGCCCACCCCGTCCTCCTGGCAGGCAGAAACGAAAGGTCCCGCATGACAGCACGGATGGGGAGGAGGAACCCCCTGCGGCCTCCGTGTTTGCTTTTTGCTTTCCTTTTCTTTCAGGGTGACTCTATGCTCAGGGGTCACTTCTGGTGGTCTTGGGGGACCACACGGGACCGAACCCCACGGCAGTGCCTGCCCACGAGGTTGATGCTCGCCGGTCTCAGGTGCCCCCCACTGAGACTCGGGCACACAGGCAGAGGGAGCAGCACGTGCCAAGGCCCAGGAGCACAGCTGGCGTGCTGGGCGTGCAGAGTGACGGGTGTGGCCTCGCATCTGTGTCCACGGCGTGTCCCACACCCCAGACAGGACAGTCACTGCGAGCCAGGAGGCACCAGAGGGCTGGCTTAAGTGCCAGGCTTGAGTGCGCCCAACTGCCCACCCCAGGACACCAGCTCTGCCTTCTGGCCTGAAGGGATGCATCATCACCGGCCCTGTGGAGCCTCGGGGCACCTTCACCCTCAGGTCCTGCCCAAGCTACCGACGCCCCTCCCTGCTGTGGTCCCTCCTCCTGGGGCCCCTGGAGCAACAGGACGGTGGGCAGGGCACGGCCTTGCATGTGGCTGACAGGGTTCGATCCCCGGCTCCCCAGAGAGTCCCCTGAGCACCCCTGGGAGTGAGCCCTGAGCACCACTGGGAGTGACCGCAAAACCAAATAAACAAAACAAGATGGGGGTGGTCCCTGGTGCCCAGCCAGTGTCCAGTGAGGGCTCAAAGCCGTTTCCTGTCACGTAGGACAGGGAGGCGGCTCCTGAGGCAGGGCTCAGCGTCCCGGGGCCCCACAGAGCCTCAGGTGTCCTGTCCCCACACAGTGTCCCCCAGGACCCTCCAGGGCCCCCTCCCAGTGTCCTCCCCAGTGTCCCCGTCCCGGCGTCCTCACCTTCCCCCAGCGTCTGCCTGAGCAGGTCATGCTTGGCCTGCAGCTTGGTGATAAGGTTGCTCCCGTTCACATATTCTTTGAACTTCTGCAAGACACAGGCGGGCCCGGCCGTGAGCCGCTCAGGGTCCTGCAGTGCAGGCCCCCCCGCCAGGGCGCCCGCGTCCCCCCGCCCCTACCCCCTCCCCCCCGCCCAGGTCCCAGCTTGTGCTGCTCCCGCTGCCCTGGGGCTCTGGGCACCTGGCTGGTCTGAGGGCGGACCCAGGAGGGGGCACCGAGGACCCCCCCCCAGTCACCCGTGCAGCAGAGACGGAATATGGGGGAAGCGCAGGCTGGAGAGGGAGACCCCCTGGGCGGGGACACTCTGCTTCTTGTCAGGACCCCCGTGACAGCTGTGGTTAGACGCCCCACCCCAGCGGCCCCTGCTCAGCCTGGCCCAGGGCAAGGCACCCGGAGACCTCCGTTACAGAACTCCCCCCACCTGCGCCCAGCTCAGCCGGCCCCCCCCAGAGTCCCTTCTTGGGGCCCCCACTTCCTTCCGAGGCCTGTCCTTAGGGGAGGGGCTGTGGCCAGGCCACGTGGGAATCTCAGTCCTGGCACCCGCAGCCCACGTGGGCAGAACAGGATGGAATAGCCCCACACAGACAGAATGGGACGGACTAGCCTCCCCCCCCCAAGGACATAACGGGAAGAAATAGCCCCCCACGGACACATAGGCGCTGGACACTGAAGCAGGAAGCAGGGCTGCTGGCCAAGAGGGCAGCAGGGTCTGTGGGTCCCGGGAAGGTGTCCCCAGCAAGGAGCCCTGAGAAGGGGCAGCAGTGCAGTGGGGGCGTCCTCCAGATCATCCCCCCAGCAATCCCGGGCGGTCAGGTGAGTCCCAGTGCTGGGAACCAGTCAGTGCCCGGTCAGGAGCCCAGCACCAGGCGGGGGCAGAGCGGGGGCAGGACCGTGCTGTGTCTGGTTCCGAAGCGGCTGCAGAGACCCCTCGGCAGGGAGTGGCCGGGGAGGGGCGCAGGGCCCTGTCCTGCTGGGGAAATGAAGGACCCCTCCCGGCGCCTCGAGCACAGAGCCCAGAGCAGTGAGCGGGACACTGGGCGAGGAGATGGGGCGGGGAGGGCAGTGCGGCCGTCGGGACCGGCCGGTGCCCAGGCCCTGCGGATCCACCTCCTGAGATGCCAGGCACCAACCCGGGGAGTAGACCTGGGTTATGGGGCCCCTGGACACACAGGTCAGCTGGGCTGGGCTGGGCGCCCGGACACACAGGGTGCCGGGCCGGGCCAGGCCGGGCCGTACCGTGAAGTAGAAGGTCTCGGTCTCCTGCTGGTTGGCCCTGCGCTTGGCGATGCTGATCTTGTTCATGTAGGTCTCGGAGGCGGCCGAGCGGACGGACTCGGTGGAGCGGCTGTGCTGGAAGGCGTCGGACACGTCAAAGTCCTCCACGGTCAGCATGTCCCGCAGCGTCTGCAGGGTGGCGTCCAGGGTCTTCCGCACCTGGGGGGCACCGCAGGTCAGCGAGGTGGGGGGCCGGAGACCCCCCCCAGGCTCCTGCCTGAAGGTTCTGGGTGTGGGTGAGACTGGGGGCAGCCGCTGCCAGGTCACCGCCGTCACCAAGGACGTGGGGAGTCAGGGGGGCAGCGAGCAGCCGTGTGGTCAGCCTGAACCCGGGCGTACGGGCAGGGAGACGGCTCGGGCGTCAGAAGCACAGGCTGCGTGGCACGCGGGGCCCCAAGGTCAAGCCCCCACTGTGTCCCCATCCCAGCAACGCCGGGCATGGCCTTGATGCCCCTCCACCCTTCCGCTGCTGGGCCTGAGCATGGAATTGCCCAGCTCAGGTGGCAGGTGCCGCCAAGTGGCCGAGAGCCCCAGGACCATTGCACGGGAGGACCCCGAACTAAAAACTAGAAGTCACTGCTTTGGTCCCGGGGACCCTGAAGACGGCTGTGCTGAGCGAGGACCCTGGAGTTCCAGGTCTGTTCCTCAGGGTTCTAGGTCTGCCCCCAGGGTTCCAGGCCTTTCCCCATTCCCCCACTGGGGTTCTAGGTCTGTCCCCTTGGGGTTCTTGGTCTGCCTCCCTTGGGGTTCTAGGTCTGCCCCCAGGGTTCCAGGCCTTTCCCCATTCCCCCACTGGGGTTCTAGGTCTGTCCCCTTGGGGTTCTTGGTCTGCCTCCCTTGGGGTTCTAGGTCTGCCCCAGGATTCTAGGTGTGCCCTCCCTTGGGGTTCTAGGTCTACCCCAGGATTCTAGGTGTGCCCTCCCTTGGGGTTCTAGGTCTGCCCCTGTTTCTCGGCCACATGGCCAAAACCCATTTCTACCAGGGGAAGAGGCCGCAGAGGTGGGAATGTTCTGGAAGGCTCTGGGCTCTCAGCGGGAGGAGGCAGGGGCAGGGACAGGTGGCAAGGTGGCAGCCTCCTGCACAGTCTGACCACCAGGGTCCCCATCACAAGAGACCCCGAAGCCGCTGTCCAAGCACCCCAGTCTGCCCAGCGTGGATCCGGCTGCTCGAGGCCAGAGAGAAGCTCGTCAGGGGATGGTGGGTCACTGGCCGCCCGGCGCCACGTGTGACTGCAGACACAACCGTCATTTTGGGGCGAACACAGTCCAGACGGAGGAAATGGAACTCCCCCGCCGGCCCTGTTTCTAAGAGCGTCCCTGGCTCCCTGCGCTGGGCACCTGCTGCCCTGCCCCCCCACCCGTCCAGAGTTGGCTTCTGGCCCCGGGTGTGGCCACTCACCTCCTCGTTCTCGATCTTGAGTGTGGCCAGCCGGGACTGCAGCTGGTGGTACCGCATGAGGAGCTCAGTCTGCACGGGCTGCTGGGCACTGACCTGGCACACCTGCGGGGTGGACACGGCCGCCACAGCCAGGGAGGACAGACCCGTGACCACCCTGCACGCGATGCCTCGGCCCAGACACTACTGGTGGGCAGAGGCGCCCCGTCCACCCTGGGAACGGTCAGGACTGCCCATGACTGAGTCACTGAGGCTCCAGCGCTGCCTGGTCTGGGGACGGGCGTGTGGGTCTCCAGGCGGGGGGACGGCGGGGCCGGGAGAGGCCAGGCCAAGGATGGACAGTCAACTCCGAGGGAGGGCCCCCCGTCCCCCCAAGCCCCGCGGGAGGGGCCCCCACCTCGTCCCCCATGTGTGGCTGGAACTCGAACTTGAGCGGCGGGCAGAAGAGCTGGTTGCACATGTCCATGACCGCGTGCTTGTCACTGCGCGCGTCCAGGCTGTCCACCGCGTTCTCGATGACGTCCAGGCCCTCGTGGCGGGAAGTCTCCAGGTTGTACTCGGCCGAGAGGTAGGTCCGAAAGGTGCGGGCCAGGCTGGCGTGGAAGCCCAGGTCACAGCACTGGAGGGACAGCGGAGGGCTGGGTGTGCGGCCCCAGCCTCTCCAGGGAGCCCCCTGCCTCCGCAGACCATCCCTGAACCCCAGATCCCACCCCAGGGGCCTCACAGGGGCTTGGGGTTGCGGCTTGGGTGACGCCTGCCTACAGAAGTCCCCGTCCAGGTTTCCTGTCCAAGGCCACTTCCTCCAGGAAGCCCTCCTGGATGTTTGCCACTCAGCCCCCACACAGGATCCCTCTGAGGGGTCTGCCTCCTTGTCCACCCCCTCACCATAATACCCATCGCCTGGCACTGCGACCCCCATGAATGCCCCGGGCCCCTCAGTGGGAGGCTCCCCTGGCCTTGCCCCGAGCCCCTTTCCCCCTGCTATGCCGAGGGACAGGACGTGGGGCTGGAGGTGAGTGCGGGAGCAGAGTGGGCTGGTGTGGCCTGGCGCCTGCTAAGGCAGCATTTGTCCCCCTGGCAATGGCCGGCCCTGGGCAAGGAAGAGGCCCTCGGCCCAGAGAGGACACAACAGCCCCCAGGGACCCCGGCTGAGCATATCCAGGGCCCCAGAGTCCTTGAGGGAGGGACAGTGGGGGACATGGAGCCCCCCGGGGTGGGGAGTGGACAGGAGACTCCTTGGGGGCGGGCCTGCGCTCCCCTCCCCTGCCTGGGCCTTCCAGGGTCTCCCCAGATCAGCCGCCCGCAAGTGTGGATGGCCGCAACTCCACAGCCCGCCCCTTCCTTCCTCCCTCCCGCCCGTGTGCCCAGTTCGGGAAGCGCCTGGGTGGAGTGTGAGTAGACACGTGCCTGGCGGGCGGCCCCCCCTGCCCCAGGCCCACGGCCCCCCTCACTCCCTGCTCACGTCGATGAGGTCTGACACGTCGCGGATGTAGTACTTGCTGACGGCCGCGTTGGTGGCCGCCAGGTTGAGCAGGTAGTCGTTGCGGGCCTTGGTGCACTTGAGCTTGTTCTCCGAGTACTTGGCCTGTCTCTGGAAGCAGACGGGTGGGTGAGCCAGCACTCCTGAAAGGGGGGCCTGGGGGTCTTCAGGGATGCTCCTGAGAACCCCAAAACCAGGCAGGGCGGCTGGAGCCTGGACTCTCCTCTCTCTCTCTCTCTCCCTCTCTCTCTCTCTCTCTCTCTCACTCACTCTCTCTCTCTCTCACACACACACACATACATACATACACACATGCACACATGCACACACATACACATACACACATACACACACATACATACACGCACATACACACACACAGACAAGATCACCCCTGGAGGGGCTCGGTGGTGTCTTGCAGTGAGACAGGACCAGACCCTCCTGGGACCCCTCATGGCACCCCCAAACTTCGAGGCCGGCCTGGCCCACGTCCCCCTCTCACCCCGGCCTCCTCTCCTGCCCCTCAAAGGCTGAGGTCAGTCCCGCTGCGGTGGCCCCTTCCCCGTCATCTGCGTGTGGCCCCCTCGCCGATCCCAGGCCTGGGCCCTCCCGCCCACCCCATCCCTCCGTTGGTTCCATCTCTGTTCGCCCCTGATGATGATTCTCACTTTGACACAAACTACTTCAGACCCGTTTCCGGTCCACAGCGGAATCGAGTCCCAGGTCCCGATGGACATGCCTGGCCGCTCCTGACCAGGGGCTCGTGAGGGCAGGACACGCGTTAGGACTGGGGGTCCCTGTGAGGGCACGCAGGACACCCGCACTCCCTGCACTCCCCCTCGTCTGCTCCCCACGCGGTCCCTGGGGTCTCTGCCCTATTCCAGCCGCCGAGGCTGCCCCTCGATGTCACATCACTGGATCCGACAGTCCCCCTCTGCCTGGTGGGGTGTGGCTGACCCCCACCCAGCCGCGGAGTCTGACCATCGGCTTCCGTGCTCTGAGGCACAGCCTGGAGCTCCGCTTAACGGACGGCTCCGAATCCTGTTTTTCATTCTTTACTGACGCCCTGCTTTCTGGGACCCCCACTACAAGGGCTCCGTGACTACAGGGGCTGGGCGCGGCTGTGGTGGCCACATTGGGCCTGCATGAGGCCGGCATGGAGGGCGTCTCACTACGAGGGCGTGGGGGTGTCGCAGGGCCCAGCCTTGGCCTGGAGCTGGACAGTCCCCAGCCATGAAATGATGACAAAGTTGGTTCGGCCGCATCCATCTCCTCACACAGAGCCAGGGACAAGGGGACGGGAAGGGTCAGAGAGGCGGTCTAGTGCGGGTATCAAGCCCAGCCTGGGTCCAGAGCTGCCCCCGCTCTCTGCTGCTTAGAAATGGCACTTCCGGGACCCTGTCCGCGTCACCAGGTGCAGGGGGGCCCCAATTCTCTGGTGGGGTTCCCTCCTGGGGTCACATCAGCCTGGCCCTGCCCTGACCCCTCAGCACATGGCGTCTGGACCTGCCCACCCCTGAGGGCTCCCCTGGGGGACCCCGTGCCCACTCCAGCCCCTCCTGTCCATGGGCTGCAGGGGCCCCCTCACGAGGCCCCCGCCCGCCCGCACTCGCCTTCTCCTTCATCTTCTCGATCTTCCTCACGGAGCTGCGTCGCTGAGGCCGCTCCTCGTGCCTCAGAAGGCTCATGCCCAGGTCGCCCGCGCGGAACTGCTTCTCCTCCTGCTTCTCGGCCTCCTTCAGCTTGCTCTCAGCGCTGATGCTCTCGGTGTGGTACATATGGTAGGTTTTCATGACCTGGGACGCAGCAGCGTGTGGTCAGCGCCCGGCCCTCTGCCCCCCCGCCCCGGCCCCCTGCAACCCCTCTAGGCCTGGAAGTGACCAGGGCCGGGGGGCTGCCCCCTGCTGCATTGCGGAGGCCCACACAGTGCCAGGCTAAGGGCGGCAAAGGGGACCCTAAAAAGGGCAGCTGCCACCCCCGGGCATCGTGGGGTTCAGGGGTCCTCCCGCTGCTGTCCGCTGCCTGTCAGTCACAACTCGGGTCCCCCCCCAGCCTCAGAGGACGCCCCGGGATCCAGGCCACAAAGCAGGAGCCCCCCAGTAGCCCCACGAGCTGCAGGAGGCTCTGCCCCAGTCGGTGTGTCTGACACTGCACCCCCCCCCCCCCGCAACCCTCACCCCTGCTTACAAGTAAAGCAGCACACACACGCACCACCCCACTGGCACATGCTGGGTCGTGTTATAAAAAAGGATGATTGGGAGTCAGCAGCCTGCAGCTGCCAGCCGGGTCAACCAACGAAACTCTAAACAGGGAAACCGAGGCCCAGGGAGGGGGGCAGTGACTTATTCTGGGACGCACGGGATTGCCAGCACCACCTCCAGACTCTGCCCCCTGTACACAGCACAATCAAGACTTGGGGCGCAGCACAAAGGCCCCTCCGGCTCCCACCGGGCCCCCGGCCCCGCCTCAGGCACTGGCCGATGTGCTGTCCACTGTCCAGCAGGTCACGTTTGGGGCTGGAGAGACAGGACAGTGGGGAGGGCACTTGCCTGGCACGCGGCCAACCCAGGTTCCATCCCCGGCACCCCGTAGGGTTCCCCGAGCCCCACCAGGAGCGATCACTGAGCACAGAGCCAGGAGTACGCCCTGAGCACTGCCAGGTGAGGCCCCTAAAACAAAACAAAAAGTACCACGTTGTGGTCTAGAGCATCAGCCACGCGGGACCCTGCAGGGTGGTCGCCCCCGAGATTTCGCCCCAACACCTCCCTGGCAGGCTCACTCTTGCTGAGTGGCAGAACCATGGGATGGGGGGGCTTCTGGAAGGGGGGCTGGGTGGCACTTTTGCTGGTCGCGGTGCTGAGCCTCTGGGCATCTGTCTCCTGCAGGAAACGCTGAGGGGTGGACGAGGGCGTGGGGAGGGCATGTGGCCGGGTCAGAGCCCCGCTTTCTGCCGTCTATTCACTCCTTGACCTAATTCACCGCCACGTCTCGGACCCGAGGGTGCCTGCCCAAGGCGGGGACCTCACTGGTGAGAAGGGCGGGGGCTGGTGAGACGGTGTGCCAAACATGGTGTGGCCAGCCCGGGTTTGGTGCCTGGCACAGCCACTGCCCCCGAGCACCCTGGGAATCCGCCCCCGGCACCGCCAGGTGTGGCCGGAAACCAAACAATCAACCAGACAGATGATTATCTCTCTGGGGGCCAGAGCAGAGCGACAGCACAGCAGGCGGGGAGCTGGCCTTGCCTGCAGACAACCTGGGCTCGAGCCCTGGCACCCCACGGGGTCCCCCGACGCCCTCCAGGAGCGATTCCTGAGTGCAGAGCCAGGAGTAAGCCCTCAGCACTGCCGGGTGTGGCCCCCAAATAAAAACAAACGGAAATGAAACAACCCACCAGAATGTTCTGGATCCACGCTGCGGAGCCTGGTTCTGTGCTCAGAGAAGAGCAGCGGGCAGTGCCCACCGTACTGCTCGCCTGGTCCCTGCATTGGGCAACTGGAGGACACTGGCAGCTTCACCCCAACTCACTCTCGGCCAGCGTCCGGATTTCTTAGGAGGAATTCTTGCCTCTTGTTGGTTCTCCCTGCCTTTCATCCTAAAAATCCCTAATCTCTTCAGAACAACTAGAAAGCACAGTGAGTCCTGGCGGAGACCCCCAGAGTTCCCAAGCCCCGCGCCAGCCTCCTGGCGCCCATCTCTCCATAGTCGCCAGTGCCACTAAACTCCTCTGCGGAGCCAGGAACCCCAAAGTGCCCCCTTACGACGCGCCTTCTTTCATTTTGTTCACGTTTAATTGAATCACAGTAAATGACAGAGCAATTCATGGCTGAGTGTCAGATGGACGGTGTTGCAACACCCAGGCTCCCACTTCCCTCCACCAGTGACCTCAGTTTCCCTCCTGCCCCCAGCCTGCGGCACCTTTTCCTCTTCCTTTCCCCCCCCCCCCTGAGCACAGCGATGGCCAATACTGTCACTAGTGTCATGCGCGTGTCATTGGGTGTCATTGGGTGTCATGCGCGTCGCGTTCTTGCCACCTAGTGGCCAAAGGGAGTGACCGCAGGCCTTCTGCCAGGCTGACCGAGGTGGCTGAGGCTTGACAGGGTTGCTGGGGGGTCCGGGTCAGCGGTCAGCTACCTTCCCCTTCCTGAATCTTCTCTCTCCCTCCTCTCCTCCCTCCCCCTCTGCCTCCGGACTCACGACCCCACTGGCTTTGGAACGGTTCGGTTCTGGCCTCTGGCCCCAGAACCCTCACTGACCGCCCGCCTGCTTTTGTGCTCACCGCCCCACAGGTCTGCCGCCGCCTGTGCTGTGGGCGTTTCTGTCTGCAGCCGCGTCTTCCCGTGCACCCACCCGCGCAGCCACCGCCCACACTATCGCTTCCCCTCCTTCTCTCCAGCAAGCCAAGCTCCGAGGTCCTGCTCCAAGGAGTCTTGGGTGGGGTGGGGGTGGGGGACCCAGGTGCTTCCTCCTGGCCCCGGGATACCGCAAGCTGGAGGTTCAGGGTCAGTTCCGGGCAGCAGCTGCCAACGGTGAGCTGAATTCAGACCCAGGCATTTACTCTCTGAAGAAAGCCACGCTATTTCGTTTTTTGCTTTTTTGTTTTGGGGCCACACCTGGCTATCTTTGTTTGGGGTTACTCTTGGCTCTGTGCGCAGCGGTCATTCCTGGAGGGGCTCAGGGGACCGCACGGGGTGCCGGGGATCAAATCTGGGTCAGCGCATACAAGGCCCGCGTCTCGCTTGCTTTTCTCTCTCCCCAGCCCAGAGCGAGCTGTTTCTGCCCAGAAATACGTCGAGACAGGCTGTGGCCTGGAAGGGCGACGGTTCCATAGCCCAGAACCGTCTGCTCAGTCCCGTCAGCCCAGGACGGGCGTGGGAGTTTCTGGAAGCATCTGCTCCTTCCAGGATCGCAAGCCTCTCTTCTGAGTGTCCCCGGGAGCCTGCCCACTTCCCTTGGCCCCTTCTGGACGGTAACAAGCGTGGCCAGCACAGTGCCAGCCCGTGTCTGCTTGTCAGCCCGGAGGACCCCTACCCCTTGATGCTCCATGGGGTAAGGGGGCCCCGCCCCTCGGGTGGCAGGAACGAGGCTCCCCCACCCGCCAGCTTAGGGTGCCCCTCTCTGCCCTGTGGAAGCCCAGACGGCTCTGAGGGGGCTAGTGAGCAGCGTGGGGGCTGGAACACAGGAGGACATGGGTCAGCTGAGGTCATAGGTCAAGACCCATCTTCAAGCTTCAAGCGGGGGGGGGGGGGGTGGATGTGTCTCAGAAGGGGTCCCTAGAGACTCAGATGACCCTTACAAGGTGGGAAGTTTCCTTCCAAAGCCGTAGACTGCGCCAGGGTCATCCCCAAAACAGAGCAAGTGCAGCCCCAGAGGTGCATGGGAGGCCTGGGCCCATTTTCTCTCTCAGGAGACTTGGGGCCACAGCCGGCAGTGCTCAGGGATGGCACCTAGGGGTACTCAGGCCTCGAGCAGCAGTGCCACAGATAGATCTGGGGCTGGCCACAGCAAGGCAAGAGCTGCAGGCCGTGTGTCTGCTCTACCATGGGTGCCCATCTGTTCTGCTGGTTCTCATGAGGTTTTCCAGGAATGGCAATGCACTGCCCCAGCATGAAGGAAACTGAGGCCCAGGGACAGCCAGCATATGGCCCAGTGGCTCATGCTGGCCAGGCAGATGGAGCTTGGAGGCCCAGCCAAGGTGGACGCTGATGGCCACAAGCCTTTGTGCTTCCTTGGGCCTGAGGTCAAGCCCACAGGGATGCATAGGCCCCACCTGGCCAGCCCCAGGCCAGTCCGGGGACAGGGTGGCACCCTGGGCCCATGCATGCCAAGAAAACCCTGCAGGGACCCCCACTTCAGCAAGACCCCCACATCCTGAAACCCTGCAGCCTCTACACAGCTCCCGGGCACGACCTTATTCTTTCCTTCTGTGGTCAAGAAACGGCCATACCCCAGCGAGAGGCCAAGACCTAGTTCCTGAGCAGAGATCCTGTCCTGGGCTGACTGGAACCCAACATGGTCAGAGAGATCTGCACGAATGAACACATGAGGGCTGGTGGCAGGACCTGGGGGGTGGGTGGGTGGATGGGTGGTTGGGCGGATACCGGGATGGATGGATTTATGACTGTGTGAGAGGTGAAAAGAGGGTTGAATGAATGGGTGGATGGTTAGGATGGATGCATGGATGGGGTGAATGGATGAATAGGTGGATAAGGGGATGGATGGATGGATCAGTGAGTGCATAGATGGAGTGAGTGGAATAATGAACGATGAGGTAGATCCGTGGATGAGACGATGGATGTATAGAGGATTGTGGGTGGGTGGGTGGATGAGTGACAGGATGGATGGATGATGAGGTGGATGTAGATGGATGGGTGGATGGGTGCACGGATGGATGATTGATAGAGGGGTGAACGGACGGGACGGGGTTGCATAAGTGGATGGTAGACGAATGCATGGATAGATGAGTGGGCAGATGGTTCAGGGAATAAATGGACATATGTATGGGTGGACGAGTGCATGGTCAGGTGAGGGGATGGCTAGATGGGGGCAAATGGCAGTGGGGGAAAGGAGGAGGGATAGTGAGGTGGGGAGACCCCCTTCAGTCTTGTGGTGCCAGCTACGTCTGTGACCGTCAGGGACAGTTTTTCGTGTGCTCTGTATCGTACAAAGTCGTGTCCTCGTCCATACTACAGTGGGGTTGGGGGGCTCTAGCAGCAGAGCACGGACCCTGCATGTGCGAGGCCCTGGGCCCAGCCAGCCCCTGGCTTTGCATGCCCAGCTCAGTGCCGCTCTTGTGGCACCCGTGGCAGTAACAACAGAAAGGAATCCTCGGTGGGTAAGACAGAGGCCTGCTGGCTTCCCTACAAGGAAGTATGGCATAGTGGGTGAGGACTCTGGGGAGAAAGTGTGAAAGGAAGGCTTCCTGGAGGAAGTGGCAAGAAGTAAGAGTAGTTGCTGCCAGGTGGGTGTACAGGATATCGGGTGGGGGGCATCCGGGCGAAGGAGAGTAGCCGGAACAGGTGGGAGGAACCCTGACAGGCAGAAGGTTCCTGGGCGTGCGGGTGAGCCCTGGCCCTCCAGCCACCCCGTGGGCCTCTGGGCTGTCCAGATCAGCCAGACCTGAGCAGCATCCTGGGCGCCCCCAACGTCGCGCTACCTTTGGACCCACCTGGTTCGTCAGAAACTGGCAGGACCTGACAATTCTGGGCGTGGCATGCGGCCCAAGCCCGGCCAATCAGTGAACAGTATGCTAATGTGGCCACCAGGCCCGCCGCTGATTTGTGCGTCCGGGGAAGGCAGGGAGGGAAGCGTCGGGTCCTCCACCAGGGGGCGCTGAGGGGCCGAGGGGACGGGCCAGATGCAGGACCGCGGAGGGATGGAGCGGCTGGTCCCCAAGGGGGGCATCAGGAGCTGGGGGTGCTTCTTCAGGCAGGGCAACGAGGGGGGTTGCTCAGAAGAATTGTGGGGTGAATACATCAGCTTCGCTCTTGGCAGTCACCCTGTGTGCCCTGGGCAGGGCTAAACATTCCCCACTCCCCCTCAGAACAGCGGGAGAGGAGCTGGCAGCACCCGCAAACCCCAGCTGCACCCACATCCCCGAGTAACACCCGACATGGTCCTGCACGCTCCACTGAGACGGTTGTGTGTCACACACTTCTGTCATGGCGCCGAGATGCCCGGACCCCACACAGCCGACAACCCGTGGAAGCACCCTCAGACAAGCCTCTGGAATCCCGCCCTTTCTCCTCACTGGGAGACTGAGTGCAGAAACACAAATCTCCCCAGGGAAACTGAGTCCAGAAAAATGAACTCGCCTCCCCATCCCCTAGGGAGGGAGACCGAGTCAGGTCACAAGTCCCCTCCCCACAGGTCACACAGTCCACGGGGTCAGAGGCAGAACGCCACCCAAGGAAGAGGCTCACGCCAACCCAGACGGTGCCCGAGACGAGTGCAGAAAGTCGCAGCAGAGACAGACCTTGGGCTATGCGCCGTCAGGACAGGATACCAGGTCTGCAAGAGGGGCTTCAGGCCCGACACGGCCCTCTGGGGAGAAGCTTTTCTGGAAAGGAGACGCCCTCAGCGCCAACATGTGACCCTATATCTGACCCACATCTACACGCGACCCGTGTGCTCCCATGCCCCCAACATGTGATCTGGATGCTCCTGTGACACCCCCCCCCCCACATGTCCTGTGCCCCACACGGTGAGTCCCGTGAGCTCACCTTCATGTCCTTGTCTCACCCTGAGCCAGGCCCTGTGCAGGGGCGGGTGGCACGGGGCACTGAGCTGTTCCCCTCTGGGACCTCCTGAGTGGCCAGGCCCCTCAGACACCTCAGAACCATACACCTTCCTCAGAGGGCACCTGCGGGGGGCCTCCCTCAGAGCCTCCTGTCTCGTGTGGTGTTACGGGGACCCCTGGAGCCAGACACGTGGGGCATGGCTGCAGGCACACGACCGACCTCGGGGTGACCGGCTGAAGGCAGGGCAGGGCAGGACTCACCGTGTACAGCTCGTTGGTGACCTTCAGCAGCTCCTCGTGCATCTGCAGCCCGATCTCCTTGCTCTGGAACACGAAGAGCAAATGTCAGGGGTCACAAAGGGCTGGGGGAGGGCCGAGGAGGCGCAGAAACCCCACACGTCCTCAGGCTCCTCGCAAAGACCAAGGCCCGGGCTTTCATGCTGCACACCCCCTCCCCCGGCGATTCAGAGACACCCCACAGCCAGGGGGCCTGGTGACCCTTCTGGCGCAGAAGTGGGGGTCTTGCTCCATTCTCCCCCACGGGGCCTGGGGGGGAGTGCGTTCCACAGAACACAGCTGGGAAACAGGGCTGCAGCCCCTCGGGCTCACTGTGGCCCTGTGGGCCCCAGCAGCCACCTGCAGACACTCGTCACCCGTGGGCCACGAGGCTGAGCGCATGGGGACAGGAAGAGTGGCGACAGAAGAGCAGAAACACTCTGAAGCAAGTTGGACCTCAGGGAGGCACCAGCACACCCAGGGGACAGGTATTCCCCCTGAGGAACTCTGGGGGTTCTCCATGGCCCCAGGGTGTCATGTTCTCCCCGAGGTTTGCCTGGGGGTGGAGGGCTCAGAAACAGGTGTGAGCTGACTTGTGTTTCCACCCGCCTCGGTCCCGCCGGGCCAGGGGTGGCCGTTGCTGTCAGGAGCATTTGGGCAAATATCCCGTTCGTCAGGGCCAGCGCACGAGGAACCGTGCCCAGGCCCTGCTGGCCCCGAGCGTGACGTGCCACACACAGCAGCTGAGCAGGGCGCGGGCCCCTCCTGCAACTGCCCGGATGCCCGTGTGGGGGTTGGCTCTCGAGCTGGACGGCAACACCCGTGAGGGCCCCCAAGTCCACCCCGGCTCTGGTGATGGGACAGCACACGACCGAGCCGGGGTCCATCCCTAACACCACACCGGACCCCCAAACCCCATTAGGAGCAAGCCCTGAGCACAGCCAGACTGTGGCCCCTAATCAAAAAAACAAAAAACAAAAAAACAACCAAAACCAAAAACCCAAAAGGCAGATTCTGAACGTGTCCACCTTCTGCACCTTCTGGAGCTGTGGGCAGACGGCAAGTTCCCGTCGTCTACTTGGACATGGTTCTAATCCCACTCCCCACACTCCCGCCCCCACTGGCCTGCCACCTCCTGCTCAGGCTGCCCGGCCCCTGGTCCCATGCCAGGCCCCTCCCCCGTGCCCTGGGCGGCGCTGTGTCCTGACCCCCGGGGACCCCACACCCGGCCCTCCCATAGGGTTCTCCCCTGGAAAGCTGAACCCCAGAACTGCTGGGCTTTGCTGGGCTGTGTCGGGGCTAGTGCAGGCGGCCCCTACCTGCTCTGGGGGACGCTGTGGGGGACCGTCCCTGGTCCTAACACCTGCTGAGGGGGCTGGTCGGACAGTCCGCTCCTCTTTCCCTGCCCAGACCGCACCCCGCTTCTCCCCAGCCGGCTGAGACCCCTGGCCAGGACCCCTGGCCATCCATCTCGCTGCCCTGGCCTGGGTTTCGGGAGCGGCCAGACCTGTAACAACTGGGTGCTGGCCGGATCTGTGGGTGACACACGGGCAGTGCCTCTGAGCCCGCCCATCCTCACCGCAGGGCCGGGTGACGTTCCAGGTGCCAGGGTTTCCAGGGAGGAGCAGGACCCGTGGGGGCAGGAGAGAAGAGACCCGTGGATGAGGTGCCACGGCAGGGACGGGGGCCAGCGGCCACAGACACCGAGTCCCACGGCCAGAGGCGACAGGGCCTCAAAGGACGAGGGACAAGGTGACACGGGGTGAATGGCCAGTGGCTGTGAAGGGCCAGCTGGAGCCTCTCACCCGTGAGTGAGGAGCGCGGCCTGGGGCTGGGGCTGACTTGGGTGGGGGCCCAGTCTTGGGTGCAGGGCGGGAAGGACAAAGGAAAGGGGCATTTCGCAGGGAAAGCAGCATCCGGACAGCGCAGAGCAGCCATGGGGTCCTAGCTGGAACTCTAGGGGTGCGGGGGGGGTTGGGGTATGGGGGGAGGGGCAGGTGGGGGAGGGGCAGTGGGAGCAGGTGTCTGGGTGTCTGGGGTTGGGGTACAGGCGGTCAGCAGGTCACTGAGCCCGTGGCTGAGGCAAATCTGGCTGAGAGCTGAGCTCCCAGGGAGGGCGGAGCAAGGCCGGATTCCGGGGTCCCCGTCTGTTGTGCCCCACGAGCACCATGGTGAGCAAGCCCACTCAGGGCCGGCTGTGTTGGCTGCTGGGGTTGGTAGGGACAGAAAGGGGCGGTCTCCACTGCAGCAGCGACCCAGCCCCAACGCTCCGAGGAACAAGTGGCCGGTGTGTGTGTGGGGGGGGCAGGCATGAACCCTGGTGGGTCTGCCGGAGCTCTGGGCATTTCCCACATGACTCTCGTGCCTCAGAGGCGGCGGATGCTGCTCCCTGCTTGCACACAGGGAGCACTGTGGGCGGAGGAGCAGTCCAGCAGCCGGTTCCAGCCGGTATCCAGCCCAGCCCAACCCATCAGATCCACGACAGGAGACCCTGCTTTGCTCACTGCCCCAGAGCGACCTTTCTCCTGCCCACACGAAGGCGGGAAAATGCACAGACACATACACATGCACGTTCACACACGCGCACACATGCACTCACACACGGACACACACATGCACACACAGACGCATGTGCACCCACATGTGCTGGGCCACGGGCAGCCTCTGCACCGACACACCTCCCCCATGCCCTGGCTCTGCATGCCCTGGACGGGGCAGTGGCCTGGCAACCCCCGGAGGCAGCCCCATGCCCGTCCCCGTGGAGGCACCAAGAGTGAGACCCAGAAGCCGGGTAGGTCCCTCCCCTCTGACACCCCAACTCCTGCAGCGAGCGTGACAGGCGCCCCCCCACCAAGGCTGGAGCCCAGGTCTGCAGGCTCCCCGCTCTGCTCCAGGCTCCGTGAGATGCCCCCCCACCCCCGCCAGCACCAGGGAGAGCTGCGTGTGCAGACGGCATCTGGGCCCCCGACAGCACCTGCCTTCTGCCCATGACAAGGGTCCGTGAGCAGGGCCAGGAGCCCAGGGCACGAGCTCTGCGCCTACCCGTGGTGCCCAGCGAGGAGCAGCAGCTCCGGAACTCAGCGGCGAGGCTCTGACCACCCCCACCCTGCAAAGATTGCTGGGGAGGCTCCCACACACCCCACGGGCAGCCCAAGGCAGGGAGGGTGCAGCTGGTGCCTTGTGGACACGGCCGGCCCCCCGAAGACCCCCGGGAAAAAAACGCCTTCCTCCTCCTGAAATGTGGGGCAACGGCCCATCCAGGCTGCACCCCAACACGCCACTGGGCATGGGATTCCTGGGGCTGAGCAGGAGCCCGGCTCCTTGTCGCCAGCATGTGGACCCCAGGCCCACACCCTCCTCCCTGGCGTTTCCTCCCACCTCTCTCTGCGGGAGGCCTGGCCCAGGTGGGCCCTCAGCTGCAGTCCCCGACCTGATGAGGCTCAGCTCTCCCGGGACGCCAGGCAACGCTCCCTCCCGCTCAGGAGGAATGTGGCGGAGCAGAGTGGGCATTTCAGTGTGAGTGCAGTGGCAGAGAACCTTCTGGAAGGAAATCCTCTGCCCAGCACCAGCTGTCCAGCGCCCCCTGCCAAAGGACCTGCTGGTCCCAGCGCCCGCGACGAGGACCTACCCCTGGTGCCCATTCGTGGGCAGGGGTCGGGCGGGGGACTTGGTGTTAACACAACAATCCCAGCGCAAAACCCGTTTCCACACAAGCCTTGGCCTGAGCGGATGGTTTCCAGGCCTCCGAGCATGTCCTCGGGGGCACACAGCATCTGTCCCTGCCCAGCCTCCAATGTGAGGTTCACCAGCACCCCGGGATGGGTCAGGCCAGGGTTAAGCCTGGGCGCTCCCAGCTGCCGCGGGCTCACCTCTCCAACGCTCCCCCCGGCTCCTGGCTGAGGGCCCTCTGGGGACAGCCCCCAGTTCTCAGATCACAAGAGACAAACTCTGTGAGCCGAGCCATGAGTGCAAACCAGGGTCTCTTTTCATTCCAAATCCCCGGCTTTGCCACAATCCAGTTTGTTTCCTCAGCAAATAACCCAAGTTGAGAGCACAGATGTTCCCCATTTAAATATCTGCTCCGCGAGGCGCTGGACCCCAGTCAGAGCCATCGTGCCTCCCTCGCAGAGCAGACGGCTGCTCGGCCGTCCCGAAGGCCAGCCAGGCCTGAGCACGGCGGCCTGGATGGCTGATGAGGGTTCCTGGGCCACGTCCCAACAGGCTGCCATGCTGTCGCCCACCCCACCCCCGGGCAGCCGCCGCACTGTCCACAGGCCCTTTGCTCCTCCTTCCCGCTCCTGCCCTGCCTCCTTTCCCTCTCCCGGGCCCCCTCCCTTTCCCTGCGCCCCCTCCCAGACTGATTCACGCCTCCTGGGCTGCCGCTCCTGTCCCTGATGTGTTTGCACCAGAAGCTGGAATGGGGATCTGAGCCCCGAACTCCTCCCCACTGGGGAGCTGCGGGCTGGCCCAGTGCCCTGCCGCCTCGCACCAGGCCTACCCCAGTCCTGAATGGCCCCAGGAGCCCGTGGGTGCCGAGCCCCTGCGTTTCCAGAGATGCTCAGAGTCACAGGTCTGAGGAGATCAAGGACCATTTCCAATGGGCCAGCCGAGGTTAAGTTTGGTGCTCTTGGATTTCTACTGGTAATACCAAATAGTATCGTTGTTGTTTAGGCTTGTCGACAGTAACGCTACTCACACACCTTCCCACTCAGGACACCCACAACAGACTCGCTACTCCACTCGGGAGGGCCAGGTCCAGTGACGCCAGCCCGCGGCCTGAACCCGACTTTATTTTGTTTTGTTGGGCTCACACCCAGTAGTGCTCAGGGATCACTCCTGGTGGCGCTCAGGGGACCATCTGGGTGCTGGTAATCAAACCCAGGTGGGCTGCGTGCAACTCACCATCTACCCTCTACCTATCTCTCCAGCCCCCGGCTAACCGAAAGCCTGGGACACAGAGGCTGGGGGAGGGAGGAACGGGTCCAAGGTCCGAGCACCAGCAAGCGTGATGCCGGGGAGTGTTCCTGGCCCCCTCAGGAATGCTCGGTGCCTGGAGAATCTTCCCCAGCCTTCAAAGACGGGAGGAATTAGATGCTCCCTTGGCTGTGAGTCTCAGGCCATGCTGGAGGCTCGCTTCCACCCTGCAGGGGGACTTCTGCAGAACGTGGGACTGGGCTGTCCCATGTCACTCCACAGGCTGCGGCAGGAGGCTGGGAGGGGGACGGGCGTTCTCCGGAGGAATCCTTCTTGACGGCTCCTGCCCCTGGCCTACATTTTGTCCTGAATCTCTAACAGATAAAGGGGGAGGAAGGCTCGGAGGAGTGACGGCCGTGTCACTGTCCTCTCTCCCCAGAAGAACATCTGTGAAAGCCTGAAGCCGCCCCATCCCGAGCTTGTTTCCCCCTGTCACTCTACTCTATCTTCGAGGTGGACATGGGTGTTGCCAGACTTGTTGGATTCAAAACAAGACAGATTTCTTTTTACTGCTGAATCACTGACCAAAGATATCACTTTAACTTCCTTGTCACTTTATAATCTGATCTTCTATTTCATTTGCATTGTTTCTGAAAAGGATGTGAAAACAACCTCATGTTTTCGTTCACTGTCATTTAAAAAATATCTGCATCTACCTATCTACAACCTTTGTACAGACTAACCAACCCAAGGATCTACTCATCCATCCACCCATTCATCCTTCCACCTACCCATTCAACCACCCATCAGCCATCCATCCACCCATTCATCCACTCACCCACCCACCCACCCATCCATCCATCCATCCATCCATCTATCCATCCATCCATCCATCCATTTACCCACCCATTCATCCATCCATCCACCCGTCCGTCTACCCATCCCACCATCCATCCATCCATCTACTCATCCTTCCACACATTCTACTATTCATCCATCCAACCTTCATCCATCCATCTACCCATCCACCCACCCACCTATCTAACCATCCATCCATCCATCCATCCATCCATTCCCCCATCCACCCACGTATCCATCCATCCATCCATCCATCCATCCATCCATCTGCCTCTTGTCTACTCATACACCCATCCACTCACCCACCAGTCACTTCATCTATTCATTCACCCATCCAACTACCCATCACCTACTTACCAGTCCATCGATTGAGTCATTCGTCCACATACCCACATATCCATCCACTCATCCATCCAATCACCCATCCACTCATCCATCCACATATCCAGCCAGCCAGCCATTCATAGATCCATCCCTCTACCCAGCCATCTACTTGGCTCTCCGTGTATCTCTTTGTCCAACCCATGCACCCATCCCCCACCCACAAACCTAGCCACCACCTTTTTGCTTACCCATCCATCCCTTTATACCCTTCTGTTTACCTATGAACCTCACCAACCACCCCTGTTCCCCTCCACCACTGACTCTATATCAGCATGCATGCATGCTGGCCCTAAGTTTGGTAGCTCTCTTGGTAAAGCCACCAAACACACCAGTTAATCATTCTTAAACTTGGCTTCATCCGCCCCCTAACCCAGAACCTTCGAGGGTTCTCCAATGTCCAGAAAATAAAACAAGTTCTCATTAGGGCACCCAAGGCCCTTCTTAGTCTATGTCCACCACGCCCTTCCTGCCCCTCTCAATTTCGCTCTCTGAGATGTAGCTCTCAAAGAGTAGCGAGAACAATAACAAAGTATTCAGATTGAAGGTCAAGATTTTGCCCTATTTTGTATCAGCTTTACAGTTAGGAAAGAGAAGCTAGAGATAAGATTGCAGGGTTCCTGGTGTCCCCTCGCTCCTCTCCTCCCTTAACTTCCTGAAACGGGCCTGTGTTCGGACCCAGTTGTGTAGCTTTGCTTCCAACAGGGTTAGGCAGTACAAACAACCTGAACTGGGAGTGTTTTAGACTTTAAAAAAGGGGCCAGAGCGACAGTACAGCGGGGAGGGCATTCGCCTTGCAGGAACCGCATCTATTCCCGGCATACCACATGGCTCCCAGAGCACCACCAGGAAGTGATCCCTGAACTTAGCCAGGAGTAGCCCCTGAGCATGCCGGATGTGGCCCTGAAAACAAACAAAGAGTGTGATGGTACACCTCGCTGTATTCCGAGTTTTATCCTCCATGATACAACTCATTCTAGCTCCTTCCCCATGGCTCTGGACGGACACTCCGTGGAATGAGCACCAAAGTTTAGGGAGCCGGTTCTCTCCCGATGACCTGAGTGGCCAAACGCTACGAACACTGCAGCAGCAATATTCTAGAGGCTGTGTGTGTGTGTGTGTGTGTGTGTGTGTGTGTGTGTGTGTGTGTCTGTGTACTGGAAGTGGAGTTACTGGGACACAGGGTGCATTTTCTTCCTTTACTGTTAATGGATACCGCTCAACTGTCCTCTAGAAGGGTTGGACCATTTTTTAGGCTTCCAAAGAAGATGTGGGCGTGCCCACCGCCCCACACTCCTATGGGCACTCAGGAGTGACTTGATCTGGCGCTGTTTCCCTTTGCTTTCTCCAGATTGCCACCAAAGGGGAAATCTTTGCTTCTGTGCCTGGTTACTTCTGTTTCCCTTTCTGTGGTCTAGCCTTGCTTCTACTGTTTTTTGCTTTTTAATTTGTAGCAAAAGTTGGTCTCCAATTCCACTCACTGGGCCAGAGACCCTTGTGATGTTAGCAAAAACCTTGCCCCTCCTGGAGCTCAGGACCTCCACTACGAGCTCACCAACCAGCCACTGCTTTGACAGCTCCAAGCTCTGACCAGTGCACAGGCTTCTGCCGGCTTGGCGGCTTGGTTGGTCTTGGTCTTTTCTTGTTAACTTGTAGGAGCTGATTTTGGCTTCCTTTCTGTGGGGGGTGTCCACACCCGACGATGCTTGGGGTTCCTCCTGGCTCTGCACTCAGGAATCACTCTTGGCAGTGCTTGGGGGACCATATGGGATGTCGGGGATCGAACCCAGGTCGACCACGTGCAAGTCAAAAGCCCTCCCCGCTGTCCTATCGCTCGGCCCCGGAGTTGATTTTGATACCCCGGGTTTGAACCCTTTATTCATTCTGCGCGTGCCAAATTCTTGCCTCACCTGCATCTTTGCGGGACACGTTTATTCTCATAGGTGCGAGCTTCATGCTCATGCAGTGACACCCCCCCCCATACATTCCTTCATGGCTTGTTCTTTTCATGTTTTCCTGAAGCAGCCTTTTCTCACCCACAAGATCTTAAATATAATCTTCTACACTTATGAAAATTCTAACATTTTCCTTTTTCTTTTTGGCACTTTCAATCCACTGAAAATATGTTTTGTGAACTGAGATGGAAGTCTTATATTTTCCAGAATTCCACACCCTGAAAAATAAGCCACTCACACCCACACGTGCGTATGAGTGTGTCAAATCAGTTCCTAAAAATAAGGAGAGGGCCAGCTCTCCGTGGACAGAACCCCGGTTACCAAACTGGTCTCTTTTCCTGAACCCACCCCTTGCCGTGCCCTGCCCTGCCCTGCCCTGCACTCTGGGCGCCCGGGTTCTCTTTTTGGTGCCTTGTAAAATTTATGGATCATCACAGAACACCTGTGAGACCGATAATCACTGTCAGGAATTGGTGTCAAACTCCACCCAACACCAAAAAATAAGACCTCCAGACCTTATTTGTTTCTCACAGTACGATGAAGTCAAAAATGAAAGGCAAGTAGAAAGCTTTATAGAATCATCACAACTGAAAGAACCATAATTCTGAATAAATGATCGTGCCAAAAAATTGTAATAATATCATGAAACATTTATGTCTGAACAACAACAAAAGCATCACTTATCAAAACTTCTGCCATGTCGCTGACTCGTAGCTTTAACGACATTAGTTTCCAAGCTTGCTTGTTCTCTAGCGTGTGTTTTTAAATGACATCTCCCAAAGGGATGTGTCTGGCACACGGGAGTGCTATTGACTTTTGTACATTGATCATGCCACCCGTCACCCTGGTGCCTTCTCTTCGGCAGAAGGATGAGCTGCTGGTTCGGGTCGTTTCCCTTTATCGAGCTCAGCTGGTTCCCATTTACGTATTCCAACTAGTGATGAGTTGTCTGAAATAGTGACGAGTTAGATGCCCATCAAGGGTTAAGAAGACCACCCCTCCCACTTCCCTCAGCATCTCCCTGGGTGAGGGTTCAATAAAACAAGAAAAGGAAATCCAGGCTCAAAAGAGACCACCGTGGTCTGGAAGGAATCCGAGAGGGGGTCCTAAGCATTTCCTTGGTTTCTGGCCCTTGGACTTGTGGGCCCAGAGGAAATGTCCCTCCGTCCCCCTCTCCATCTGATTCCCATCGGGTCTTTCTCCAGAAGAGCCAATAAGCATCCGGTGAGGCTGATGTTTCCCGGCTGATTCCCGGGCACGCATCTTGGAAGCATCACAACCACGCCAGATATGGGATTATTATTGGCTCCATCTAGAGCCAATAACTCGTGGCTGGAACGTGAAGCAGGAGAAGGGAGTGGCAGCATCCCTGTGTGCCTAACGGCGCTGCCCACACTGGCCCCGTCCCTGCCAGTCAGTCTCAGCTACGGCCCGGAATCCCGGCTCTCTTCCTCCCGCACTGGGGGACACTTGCCCCCAGCTGGGGCTCACGAGACACCACCCTCTCCACTCCCGCCCTCTTAACACTGCCAGGGCCATACCACCCTCCGCTTTGCAGGGGAGGGTCCCGACAAAGGCCCCGTGTCCTGTCCACAGCCTAGGGAAGAGGCGCCCCAAATCCAGAGCTCCCAGAGAAATACGGAGGCATGACACTGCATCTGCCCCCTCTTGCCGATCCCGACTTCCTGCTCCTTCCTCACCGTCTCAGGGGGGTCTGGGGGGGCTCAGCTCCGGGAAACCCCTAATCCTGTGGGGCTCAAACCCACCTCCACACCTTAAAACCTTCCCAGGCCCCCGCTCAGCTGAGCGATCTGCTGAGTTCGAAGACAGCCCGTCCCCAAGCTGCTCACCGCCCACCTGCCTTGCCTGGGAAGGACCAAGGGGGTCCCCGGCCGCGGGGTTGCTGTATCAGACGCATTTCTCTCCCTCCTTCAGTACGGTCTCAGCAGCTCACTCAGGCTTCGGACACGTGAGGATTCAAACCCCAGCTCAGACGCCCCTGTGCCAGGTTCCAGCCCCTCGGGAAACGGGCTGCAGAGAGCACCCTCAATGGACCCCAGGGTGAGGCCGGAGCAGTCGGACAACGGCGAGGGCATTTGCTTTGCAGCTGATCTGAGTTTGAGCCCCGGCATCCCCTACGGTTCCCGGAGTTTGTCAGGACTGACTCCTGAGCACAGAGCCAGGAGCAGCCCCTGGGCACTGCTGGGTGTGGCCCCACAACCAAAACAAGCAAACAAAAAAAGGATGAAATGTCTGTGGGCCGTTTGCAGCCTGTCAGGATGTCAGTGGGGGCGGGGGGTGGCTGATCAGGGAGTTTGGGGTGCGGGGACAAGCCGCCGAGCTCAGAGCGCGTGCTCCCGCTCAAAACCCTCATCCCTCCTGCAAGCACAAGCGAAGCCACAGCCTGAATCCACGCCATCGGTGCTCTGGGTCCTGGTGACAAAGCAAAGCAATTATCAGACACAACAGCCCTGATTTATTTATGAAACACCGCGGACGTCTCCGAGGCGGGAAGGGGGCAGCTCGCGGAGACGGAGCTTGGAGTGTCACGCTGTGAGAGGCTGGCTCTCAGACACCAGCCCCCAGCCCCTCCGCCCCCGAGAGTCCTCCCTCATTAGTGCCCCCGCCCGCTGCTTCCCACAATCAAATTCACCGCACGGCGGGCGAGTAATTAAATTCCGCTGGCATCGGCGCAGAAAGGAGTGGACGGCCATTGTGTGGGAGCCCGAGCTGCAAACGGACGGCCCCAAGGCCAGCCTGGGAAACGGGGAGGGGCTGGGGGCAGGCGGGGCACAGATGGCGCCTCCCGCTGGCCTTCTGCAGGGGAGGGGTCCCAAGGACAGCCTGTCAGGGCGAGACTCAGTTTCCCCCCTTGTACAGCCAGAGGGCTGGGTCAGCATGTCCTTCTCCAGGGTGGTCCCCGGGCCAGCCACACCGGCAGCCCCCAGAAACCCTCACCGCGCCTCTCCCTGGGCCTCCCTCCGACCCTCGGGCCCCCACCCGCTCACCCCCCCCCCCCCAGAGGGCTTCGATGCTAGACGCGAGTCCCGGGAGACGGCGCTGAAAGGGGCGACAAGCCGCACGGGCGGGGACGGGCCCTGGGCGGGGGACTGGCAGCTCTGCCCGCCTGGCCGGCAGCTGCCTGGTGCCTGTCACCACAGCTGACGCCGCGCCCACCTCACCCACACAGCGCCCTGCCGACAGCTCTGCCCCCGCACCGAGAAGCAGAACCAGGCCGGGTGCGAAATCTCACAAGCGAAAACACTCTCACGCTCCTCAGCCCCGCAAGAGCCAGGCTGACAGCAACGGCAAACCCGTGAGCGGCGGCCTCAGACGCCCCCCTGCTACCCAGCCAGCCCCAAACACACTCACGCACACTCTCACACACGCACACACACACACACACACATATACTCACACATATACACACACTCACACTTACACATATACACATCCTCGAACACACACTCTCACATGTACACTCACACACACATACACATTCACACACATACACACACTCAGGCACATATACACACATACTCACACATATACACATACTCTCACATCCTTACACTCACACACACACATACAGACACTCACATTTGCACATGCTCACATCTGTATACCCACACTCACACTCTCTCACACATACTCACATACACACTCACAGATATACACACATGTACACATTCTCTCACATATACCACTCACACATATACACATACTCACCACACACCCTCATACTCACACACATACACACACTGTTACACAAATACACACTAACACATTCACTCATACACACTCACACGTATACAAACTCACACATATACACTCTCACACACTCACACACATACGTACGCTCACACATATACACAGACTCACATACATACACGCTTACTCTTCCTCTCTCGCACACACGCTGCACACAGCCGCCATGCCCCCTGGTAGGCACCTCCTCCCCCTGCATGGTCAGCTCCGGGGCCCCTCCCTGGGGACATGGCCCAGGCCTCTGTCCTACTTTCTCCCTGTCTGCGGTGAGGCGGAGAAGAGCCAAACAGGGAGGGAGGATCAGCTGGGGAAGGAGGGAAGCCGGCGGGCAGAGGCAGCTTCCCCAGAGAAGGAGGCCTCGTGGGAGAGTCCCAGCGGCCCTGCAGGGTGGCGTCAGCGGTGCACCGGCTCCCTTGGACCGGCATCTCTGGCAAAGTCTACGCTGCAGCGACGGGCAGCGGCACGGGGCGTGGAGCACAGGCTGGGGGAGCATCCGCCCAGGTCCAGCCTGGCACCACATGGGCCCTGACATCACTGGGTGTGGCTGGATGAGGTCCCCGAGCACAGCCTGGTGGCTCCTGGCATTCTCGGGACGGGAGGCCTGGGGCATGGAAGTCACTTGCACAGGAGGTCCCGGGACAGCTGGGGCTGTGGGTGAGCAAGTGCATGCGTGTGTGAGTGCACACGTGTGTGTGAGCGTGTGCATGTGTGAAGGCGCACGTGCATACAAGTGTGTGAGTGTGTACATGTGCATGTGTGAGTGTACATGTGTACACGTGTGAGTACATGTGTGTATGAGCACGTGCATGTGTGAGTGTGCATTTGTGTACAGGCATGTGTGTACGCACCTGTGTATGTGTTTGTGAGTGTGCGTGTATGTGTATGCATGTGTGTACATGTGCATGTATGTGTGTGCACACGTATACACGTGTATGTGAGCACACACATGTGTGTACATGTGTGCGTGTGCATGCATGAGCACACACGTGTGAGTGTGAGCGTGTGCATGTGTGTGAGCACGTGTGTGTGTGAGCGCGCACATGTATGCAAGTGCATGTGTGAGCACACGCGTGTGTGCACGTGGGTGTCTGCAGTGCACAAGGTTCAGCCTTTGGGAATAGGGCTGCGCCTTCCCTGGCCTCTGTGCCAGGCTGCTGGACTCAAGCTTCCAGATGGCTGCATCGGCTCCCACTTTGCTGCCGTGTCCCAAGTGCTCCCAGGATCCGGGCACGGCCGAGCCCTCAGGTTCTGGGGGTCCCAGGCAGGGAGGCTGGAAGCCGGGGGCCGCCGGGGCCGTCTGGCAGCACAGGGAGACAGACGGGGAGGAAGGGACGGGAGCAGGGGAGCGGGACGCAGCTGAGCTCACACCGCCCGGCTCTGTGGCCCTGAAGTGACCGCGCTGGGCCGCCCCAAGCCGGGCCGCCCCGTCCTCTCTCCCCCTGAGCTGGGCTTCCCTGCTTACAAATGGAACATCCTTGGTCTCACCCAGTGCCACCGGGCTGCCTGCGTCCCCCAAGCCGGACATTGCCAGGTGGGTCCGAGGGAGCGGGAGAAAGGTGAATCCGGAGTCCAGCCATGAGGCAGACGGCGCGCTCCGGGTCACCCAGAACCTCAAGAAAGGCGGCAGCTTCGTGGCCCAGTGTCCTCAGGGGCTGGAAACTTCTCCCGCCTCCCGCAGAGGCTCTACAGGATGGGGGGTGCAACGGCCGCACTGGGATCCCCACCGGGGAGCGATGCCCCCACACGACATGGGGACAGATTGTTGGCCGGGCACCACAGCGGGACAGGCCAGGGCTGGACAGGGGCCTGGACTCAGCGCTCTGTGATGGTGACGGGTCACCATCTCCCTGCGAGAGGGCGGGCATCAGGCCCCCAAACCCCACTCCCAGCCGAGAGCCACAGGCCCTGCCACCAGCTCCGGCTTCTCTGTAGATTCACCTTCCTGTTCTGAGGGACGCGGCCGCAGTGGCCTGGGACCTGGTGTAGCCGAGCCCCAGGGCCGTCAGACCTGTCGCTGGCCGGGCTGGCCCCGCGGCCCCCTTTGTTCCCAGCTGGCACGGCGGCGGGAGCTCAGCTGTGGATGCGCTTTTGTCATTTTCCACCCTGTTAACCTCCATGACTACTGAGGCCGCTGTCAGCCCAAATGAGCCTGAAAGATTGATCTCCCTCGCCCCAGAGCTCGGCTCCGAGAAGCCCCTGTGCTTCCGGGAGGCCCCGCTGACCCCAGCACACAGCCGCAGTGGCGGGGGGTGGCCAGGCCCAGCGGGGACCCGCCAGAAACAGCGGCTCAGTCGTCTTTCTCCTCGCACGGCCTCCCCTCCCCCCCTCGGTCACGTCTGCAGTATGACGTGTGGCGTCGTTTCAGGAGCAGAGGGGCGCTTTTCCTGACACGAGCAGCCGGCCTGCGGGCACATGCTGCCCCTTCGGGAAGCAGAGAATCCAAGGTGGTTCGGTTTTGAATCACCGTGTCCTCTCCAGATACCCCGGGACTGGCACCGGGCTGACGGGCAAGCCGGACGGGGGTGGGGCAAGGGGGTGGCAGGGAGAGGGGCGCACGCAAGACCTGGCCAGGCCTCCGGGGCACCCGGGCCGTGCCGGGCACCCGGTCTCTGGGAGCACTAGCCCGTCCTCCCAATAGCCCCTCTGGGAGTATTCTTTTGCAGGGAGGGTGACCACCTGGCTGTGCCCAGGGGTCTCTTCTGGCTCTGCACTCGGGGATTACTCCAGCTGGGGCTTGGAAGCTGGTGACAAAACCCAGGTTAACAGCAGCTAAGGGCGAGGAAAGCATCTCCCCCCGTGCTCTCTGGCCTCTGGGTTATTTCTAGCCCTATCACACCAATGGGGAAACTGAGGCACTGGGCGGTGAGTGGTGGACCCAGGAACCGAGGAACTGTAGAACTGCCCAGGGCACCCCCATGGCACACGTCCCTTCCCCCTTGCTCCCACGCTCCAGGGGTCGTCCTGGGCACCCCACATGGGGGAGAGGGAGGCAGCACTCGCAAGAGCAAGTCTATACCGAGGAGTGTGCTGGGGCATCCCATGTTGGTTTCAGGGTCAGTGACATTCCTGGGGTGCCCGGGGCCCGTTCCCACCACACTCGGCCTCTGGGGGCTGTGGACACCACTTGGCAGTCATTCTGAAACAGCCCGGCAACACTCAAAGCTAGAAATGTCCCTGCAGAAACCCCACCTAAGAACACGGCCATGAGCGTGGCAAAGGCCTGTCGGCCTGACATTTCTGATGGGACGGAAGCTGTGAGCGTCCACACAGGAGCTGGACCCATGGAAGGGCCCTACCCAGTGAGACACCGGCAGGAGAGGGGGCGTTCGCTGACGATGGGACCTGGGCAGGAAGGTCATCCCCGAGTCTGAGCTCTGCTGGGGCTGGACAGTGCCCAGACCTGTGTCCACACGAGTGCTCAGCCATGTGGGCGGGTCTGTGTATGCAGAGCCCACAGGGACGCCAGGATCAGGGGACGGAACTGCTCCGGCACCTTCTGTAGGGGTGCGAGTGCGCCCCAGCGCCCCCGCCACCCCCAGGACATGCGCTGCCAACCCCGTTTTGTGTCTGTGGTGGTGGCTGGAGAGAGGTCGGAGGTCACCGGCCATGACTCAAACCCAGGGTGTGGACAGTCAGTGCCCCCAGGCCAGCCCACCTTCTTGAAGAGCCGGACGACGTCCTCACTGATCTGGGCCAGGCGCACGGTGACGTTGTTGGTGAAGATGTCGTTGAGGGTGGCGTGGTCCCGGCTCTCCCGCCGCGTCTGGTGCAGGACGAGGTACCAGCAGCTCACAGGCGAGAGAAGGTTCTGGTCCTTCCTGGGGAGACAGGCACAGGTGGGCTTCACGCCCCGGGGGCCGCCTGCAGCAGGGCCCCTTCGAGGAGTTCTCAGACACCGATGGTGGGCACAGACCCCCGAGGCCACAGAGCCTCCCTGGGTCGGCCCGGCTTCCCCCAGCTCCCGTCCCCGAGGCCAAACCCTGTGGCGAGTCCCTTGGCTCTGCAGAGAAACAGCACTGCTGGCCCGTGCCCTGCCCGACCCCCCCCCCAACAGGGACCCTCACTCAACTCCTGGGAACACAGGCTTCTTGCGGGGGAGGGGACCCAGGCTGTGCTCAGGGGAGCCCGGGACTTTGGCTGCTCAGCCTTGTGGTGCTGGGGGCGTGTCTGGGCTCAAACCTGCTGGGGGGAGGTTGTGTCTCACGGGAAGGCCCACCTGAGCCAGAAACTGGGGGTCTCTGATTGCCCCCGAGTTGAGGAGTCACGGGACGAGCCCGTTGTTTCCTGACGCTCCAGTCCCAGAGGAAGGGGGTGTCCTCTCTGCAGGGGCTTCACCCGCCCACGGGCCATGAACCAGTCAAGGGAGGCAGAGGGAGAGGCCAAAGACGGTCTCGGGGTGTCCTCTGAGGCCGGACCCCTCCCTCCACTTTAGATGCCGGGAAGGTCCAATGTGTCCCCAGCCCGCCGCCCAGCCAGTTCTAAGCTGCACCCCACTGCCGTGGGCCAAGGGGGGCGGGGCACAGTTTTGCTCAGCAAACAGCCCCCCTCCCTCAGCATGGTTTTCTTTGGGGGCCACCCCTGGCAGTGCCCAGGGCTTCCTCCCGGCTCTGTACTCAGGAATCACCATGGGCGCTTGGGGGACCGTACGGGAAGCCGAGGATCGAACCCGGGTTGGTGCAGGCAAGGCAAGTGCCCTGGCCCCGATCTCTCAGCATTTCTGGGGCAGCCAGTGGGCCGAGGAAGTGCAACGAGGATCCCCCCAAGGCACACAGAGGACGACAGGCCAGAAAGGGTGGCCCAACCTGGAGGCATTTTCTTTCTGGCATTGAAAAGTCCAAAACCATTTGTTGTCTGGGGAGCATGTCAAAGGGGCCCAAGGGTCCAGGCCTGGGTTCAGGGGCCGGCGAGGGCACTGGGAAATGTCCGGGGATGTGGCTGACGTCGAGGAATCAGGGAGCCCTTTGGGTGCTGGGAGCCCTGAGAGGCTGCCGGCAGGAACCACGCAGGGCCGGGATCATGGGCAGGAACCACATGGGGCCATGGGCGGGAACCAGCGGGGCCGTGGTTTAGCTCTCTGCTGCCCTGTTTGGACAGTGCCAGTCCAGCCTTGACCCACGGCCAGGGCGCCCGGTCCCTGCGTCTCTTTCATTACTGCTGGTGTCAGGCCACGTCTCTGGGCACCAGACGTGGTAACCAACCCAGACAGACCCCACCTGCTCTGCGGCCCTGTGGAAGTCTCGGGAGAGAGGTGCATGGAAAGAGCCTCCTGGTGGGTGCCACTTTGGGCAGGGGTGGGGTGGGGGGGTCACTCCGCGGATGGAGCTGGAGCCGTAGGACAGCGGGCAGGCACCTGCCCTGCACGGGGCCAACCGGATGCAGCCCCCGGCATCCAATATGGTTTTCTGAGCCAGCCACGAGTAATTCCTGAGCACAGAGCTAGGAGCAAGCCCTGAGTACCCCCAAACAAAGCATCGACAGTAGAGAAAAAGCCCCAATTGCCCTGCTTTGGCCCGGCGCCCCTGCCGGCCACCTAGCAGAGAGACGGGGGTCACGCGAGGAGCCCAGTGGGTGGAGTGGACCCTGGGCCCCACACACAGGCCAGAGAGAACCCCAGTTCTGAAGCACATGGTCACTGACGTGGCCACAGGATAATCTGCCCCTTGTCCCCATAAGTACCTCACATGGTCTCCGCTGGCCCCGACCACAGCGTCTAACAGGACCTCAGACCCAGCTCTGACACTGTCCCTCCCAAACTCCAGACAGCAGATGGCATGGAAGGAAATGACAGATAACTGAGAACCTTTCAGGGTGCAGAGTGAGAGGCTGGCAACAGCGAGTCAAATGGGCAGAGTGACCTCGGCAGGGAAGGGCGAGGCCGTCCCACTGCGAGTTCCCCCATAGGCCTCCCTGGGGCCGCCAATGAAAGACTCACCCCCATTCTCCGACCGCGGTGGGAGGGCGGCCCAGACCACTGCATGCCATGAACAGTCCGTGGCCATAAGTCTCAGTGACACTACCCCCTTCAGACCCTCTCGGAGAAGGACTTCAGAGAGGACACGGCCAGGACGGAGACACACAGCCCAGGAGTCACCCGTGTCGGAAACACAGTTGCAGGGTTGAAGAGGAAGTTGGGGGCCGCGAGAGGGCCTGGGACTGCTGGGGACCACTGGCTAGGCAACCTGGACAACGAGCTCCTCACTGAGGGGGGGCAGAAGGGCGGGCACCTCCTTGTGAGAAGCCAGGGGACCGGAGGCGGGGTGGGAGGCAGTCCCTGAAGAGCCGCCAAGGACCTGCATGGTGGACTGTGGCTGGTGGCCACTCTCATACCGCGTCTCCTTGGGTATAAACTGGGCACCAGTGGACGCTCCACAGCTTCCCAGAGCTGGGGACCCCCAGGAAACCAAGGGAGATGCACAATGGCAGGCAGCCGTGAGGAGGGGCCCCTTGGGGAACGGGGTCCCAGCACAGTTCCGGAACGTGGGGATGGCCGGAATCCAGCACGTGGTGTTCAGGGAGAACACCGGCTGTCATCTTCTTGGCCGCGTGAAAAGTTCTGGGACCACAAGAAGCCCCCCAAGGCACGGGGTGGAGCCTGGCCCTGTCCAGGCCCCTTGTCCCTCCGGGGAGTGAGACCCCTTTGCCCTGAGCTCGGCTCCCGTGAGTGAGGGTGGGAGCCAACGTGGGCGACAGCCCTTCCCAGCCTCCACCGCCGGCGACCCCATCTCTGTGCCCCCACCTCACGCACCCTGTCTGCACGCCCCTGTCCCTGCGCACCCCATCTCCGTGCACCCCGTCTCTGTGCACCCTGTCTCTGTGCACCCCTATCTCCCTGCTCCCCATCTCCATGTGCCCCGTCTCCATGCACCCGAGTCTCAGCACACCCGCCTCTGCGCGCCCCCATCTCCGCACACCCCTTCTCCAAGCTCCCTGTCTCAGCGCGCCACCATCTCTGCGCACCTTGTCTCCGCGTACCCGTCTCTGCGCACCCCGTCTCCATGTTCCGTCTAGCGCACACGTGTGGGGAAGTGCTGTGTGAGCACTCGTGTGTCTGCGTGTCTCAAGCTTCGACGTGCGCCCCCCGCCTCCAGCTGGTGAGCTGGGAAATGGCCGCGGGCGGGGACCGTGCCAACGGGACCCATCTCCCTGCCTGCTGGGCGCCAGCTCCTCTGGCCCGTCCTGGGGGGCAGTGCAGGGAGGAATCCCCGCGCCCACCGTACCCAGGATGTCGCTGTGCTCCCGGGTGTTGGCAAAGGCGGCTTCCGGGGCTGGGAGGTGCAGCTCCGCTCTTGCCACCCGGCAGGATTCGCGCCTTTTCTCAGCACCTGAGCCCCAGGGGAGGGGCTGACGCTGCCTGTGCCCGCCCCAGGAGGCAAACCGGGCCCCACCGCCTCCCCACTCCCGGGGCTCGCTGGCAGGGGCCGGTCAGAGAATGCCTGCGATGCTTCTCCCCGCCCTCACCGGGCCACGCTCCCCAGACAGGCTCCGTGCACGGTGCCTGCAGGGCCACTGAGGAGGGCCGCGCGGAGTGGGCACACAGGGAGGGTCGGGAGCACAGGCGAGCACTCAGCTGCCCTGCAGCCTGGGGAGTAGGAATGGTCACTGCAGCCTGACTTCCGCTGAAGAGGGCAGGAAAGGGAGGAGGCATCATGGGAAGGGAGCACTCATCGATCAGGAGCCGCGCCGACAGTTTCTCCTGCGGCCTCACTAAGAACCAGGAGAGCCCGGGGCCCGGGCTGTGGATCGGGGCCTCATGCTGTCGGGGACCCCTTATTTCCCTTCCCCCTTGTTCTGAGGGGCACCCACAGGCACAGCCCTCCAGCAGAGGGTGACAATAAGCCCCCCAAATGCCTCTGTGCTCTTGTCTCAGGCCGGGACCCCAGAGGGGCCTCCCCCTCCCTGCGGGGGCTTTCCCGGGGCTCCTCACCACTCGCTCCTTGGACCCCGGCTGGCCCAGATCCTTCAGGGACTTGTAGTCGGATTCGCCGGGCCCGGTGCAATAGTTTCTACCACGTTTCTGAGACCAGACACAGCCCCGGCAGAGAGGGCAGAGCACCACAGACCCGCCCAGGACTGGGGAGGAGGAGGGAGCACAAGGGAGGGAGCACAGGGGAGGGAGCATGAGGGAGGGAGCACGAGGGAGGGTGCAGCTCAGGGCAGGAGCGGCCAGGAGGGAGAGCCCAGAGGCGGCCGTCCAGCTGTGGTGACGCCCCGACCTTGCAGATCCTTAGCAACATTCTAAGGCCGGGGACAGAGGAAGCCCGGCAGGGGTATCTGCAGCCAGAGGCGGTTGACTCTGCAGCCCGCGGCAGTTATTAGTTGCTGGACTGTCTTCAGTCTGCCGTGGTCACTGGTCCCTGGACTCTGACTCTGCGGCTGTGGCGGTCACTGGTCGCTGGATTGTCTTTGGCCAGCGGCGGTCGTTGGTCACTGGACTGTCTTCAGTCTGCTGTGGTCACTGGTTGCTGGACTGTGTGTGGCCTGAGGCCAGGTGTCCTGGGCTCCAGGCGGCAGTGGCGGCAGGGCTGGCTGATAGTGGGGAGGGTCCGGCCTCGGCAGGGAGCGGCGGGTCCCACCGGCCGAGTGGGAGCCTGAGAGCTGGCAGCCAGGATGAGCGTGGGCAGAGACCCACGGGTCAGCAGGCTGGAGGCCTGAGGTCAAATCCGCTGACCCGAATGTGTCGGAGTCCCTAATTGGGGGTGACCAGTCCCCACTGTCCTCACGAGCCCACCAAGTACCATCAACTAGCCAAGTCTGGGAAAGAAAAGCTTCACCCCAGGGGTCCGCTGAGAGAATCCACACCCCAACGTCCCAAGTCCCAGGGGTCACCGCAGCCATGGTCCGACTCGGGAAAGCCCAGGTCCAGCCCTTCTGGGAAGAGCCACACTCAGCTCCGCGGGATGTGAGGGAGAGGGGGACCCGCAGCAGGGGTCCAGCACTGTCCAGCACAGTGGGGCCTTCCTAGCACTGTCCATTGGGAGGCCCCACTGGGAGGCCGCACAGAGAAAGTGGGTCCTGCGACAGCTTCATCTCTGCCCCTTCTGCATGTCACGCCGGACAATGCTGACAACACCCTCAGACTGCCACCAACGCCAACGTCCTCAGAAGCCCGGGGGTCAGTGATGTCAGGCCTCAGGGTCACCCGTGTCCCCACTAGTGGGTGGGGAGCCCCTCCAGCATCCTGCATCTCCAAGCTTCCTGCCAGCAGCCCAGTGCCCGGCCTTTGGGGGTCTCCATGGCTGGACCAGAGTAGACAGCCCTGGACCCTGGGCCCAAACACACTCCAAGGCAGCTGGATGACAAGTGTCTCTGCTGTCCCCTGGCCAGAAGAGCTGTGAGGGCCGCTGAGCTCGTCTGCCCTTCAGTGTTGCCAGCTTCATGCCTGCTGCGCCCGGCACCAGCGACCCAGGCCTCCCGCTGTCCTCTCTGCTGCCTCGAGACGCCCAAACCAGTGACCCCAAAGGACAGACAAGACACAGCCCAGGCAGAGAGGACCTGCTCGCCGTCCTCCCCGCAGTCCTCCTCTCCTTCCTCCCCTCAGTCCTCCTCTTTCTCCTGTGTGATGGCTGTTGAGCACCCTGTTCCTCTCACCCTCAAGCCCTCTCTGAAAGATGCTCCACCGGTTCTCCTCCTCCTCCTCCTCCTCCTCCTCCTCCTCCTCCTCCCTCTCCTCCTCTGTCGGTTCCCCGCAGGACCCTGAGAGGCAGCACATCTGGGTGTCTGACAGGAGTGGAAACAGGGGAGGTGGAAAGACACCCGGTGGGGTCCCTCCAGGGCCGCCCGGGGCACTCCATCATCCCCGACTCCCCTCCTCCCTTCCCTCCATCCTCCCCATCGCCCCTCCTATCTCTGGCCCATGGCCGAGTAACTCAGACAGGTGGGGCCGCGCCCTCCACTCTCTGCCCCAAGGTCCCGATTCGGTACGCGGAGGCGCCTGATGCATCCGGACCCCTGGCCTGAGCGTCACTGCCAGGACTGACCTTGCTGCTGGGTCTGAACCTCTAGCCGCCACCCTGGGTGTCCTGAGCACTGCTGAGGAGCCCTCCCAAAGGGCCTGTGAAGTAACTGGGCAGCAGGGTTACCCTGCAGTGACCAGATGAGGCCACAGACGAGGCCCCGCCCAGGGTGGAGCAGGCACAGCTCCTGGGGGGCAGCAGGACAGGGGGCAAGAACCGGGCCCCTGCGGTCGAGGGGGCTCTGCCCAGACCCCGGAGGGCCTGAGCAGCACCTCATTAGTCTCCACCGCCTGTCCCCCCTAGCCGGTCCCAGCCCCAGGCCTAGTGGCCACCAAGGCCCTAATGGCGGGCGGGGAGCTCGTGGCTCCAGGAATTGGCCCCACCCGCTCCCCCCACCCCAGGACCACAGGAGGCGGGACTGGGAGTCCTGGGTCTGCACACCCCTGGCCGTGGCTGTGGGCTGAGGGGTGAGGGTGTGTCGGCTGCTCCCAGCAGGCTGACCAGGGTTGCTGAAATGGCTTCCCGAGGGCCGGACCCGGACCTGCCCCCCTGCTGTCACGTCAGAAGGGGCCACAGAGAAAGTATCACGCTAAGCAGAATGAGTCAGAGAGAGAGAGAGAGAGAGAGAGAGAGAGAGAGAGAGAGACAGAAAGATTGCATTCATCTGGGGAACATAAAGTAACAAACTGGGAGACTAACACCCAAGAATAGCCGAGATAAGTACCAGGAGGTTCACGCCATGGCTTGGAGGCCAGCCGCACATGCTAGGGGAAAAGGCAGCTCAGATAGAGAAGGGAGCACCAAATAAAGGGTGTTGGGAGGATCCTCCCAGGATGGGAGATGCGTGCTGAGAGCAGACTATAGACCGAACATGATTGCCACTCAATGCCTCTTTTGCAAAACACAGCACCCAAAAGGAGAGAGAGAACAAAAGGGAATGCCCTGCCACAGAGGTGGGGGCTGGGGGTGGGAGGGATACTGGGACTGGTGGTGGTGGAGAATGGGCACTGGTGGAGGGATGGGTACTCGATCATTGTACAACGGAAACCCAAGCACGAAAATTTGTAAGTCTACAACTGTACCTCATGGTGTTTCACTAATAAAAATTTTAAAAAGGGAAAAAAAATTTAAAAAAGAAGGGGCCACAGAGCCCTGGGGGCGGGGGCAGGGGGGCTCTGGGACAGCTCTGCAGGCCGCAGGGAGCAGAGGTTCGGGAGCGGGACTGTCCTTCCAGGTGCACCCCTGAGCCTGGGGCTGTCCCATTCATCCCCCCCCCCCCCCACACACACAGAACAGCGTCAGGAGAACATGACCGTGGGAAGGCCCGGCGCGGCTGGAGGAGCCCGGCCAGAGGTGTCTGTGGATTTGCCCTTCAAAGAAGCGATTCTTTGCTTTTTGGGTCACACCCTATGATGCTCAGGGGTCACTCCTGGTTCTGCACTCAGGAATTACTTCTGGCGGCGCTCGGCGGACCCTATGGGATGCTGGGAATCGAACCCGGGTTGGCTGTGTGCAAGGCAAACGCCCTCCCTGCTGTGCTATCGCTCCGCCCCAAAGAAGTGATTCTTATCCACAGTGTTGCTCCGACCTAGAGTGTCCAGTGTCTACAGGTGGGACAGCTGGAGGGGCCGGCCCTGACACAGCCTCGGGAAGGGGGACACAGGCCTGCCCTCAGCGTGGACATCGGCTGGAACGGTGGGGGGTTGGACACAGACACCGAGTGGCCGAGCCTTGGGGACCCATGGCAGCCACTAGACGGGTCCCGTGGGCCCTGCCGAGTGGGGTGCCCAGCGCCCAGGAGCCAGGGGAGGGGGCTGCTTCTCGGGGGTGAGGGCATCCTGGGCTGGGCTAAGGGACACCTGGGGGCAGGTGCAGCCTGAAAGTGAGGCCGGGCCGACGGCCACAGGAGGTGTGGGGCCGTGTCCGGGAATGGCAGGGAGGGACGAGCGGGCTGGGGGCTGGACAGGACTGAGTCTCGGGTGGAGAAGGGACCCCACATGGAAGCTCAGGGGGCGGTGGGGGCGGCCCTGAGGGCACAGCAGCCCACCCTGGCCCAGGGGCTGCTGAGACTGGGGGTCTGTCCAGGCCCGGGGCAGGAGCGGGCAGGGAGAGGCCCAGACGGGGCCCAGGCCGGGGAGAGTCAGGATGTTCCGGGGCACAGGGAGGACGGTGTGAGTCGGGGGTCCACACGGAGGACACGCCCGGCTGCTGCCCGCCTGGCCCCAGAGGTCAGGGCTGGGGAGGGGCAGCACCTGCCCCCACTGGGGCTCCCGTGCCTGGCGCCCCTGCCGCCCCCTTGCGTGTCCACGCCCCCCCACCCGCCTCTGCCCCCCGACGTGTCTGCACCCCCCCCCCGCCCCCGCCCCGCCCCCGAAGGCGCCTCACTTGAGCTGGTGCTCCCGGGAGCCGCGGATCCGGGAGGAGAAGCGCTCGGCCAGCTTGTCCAGGCCCCGCGAGTACTCGAGCTCCAGCTCGGCCTTGCGCCGGAAGAATTCCTGCAGGTCCTGCAGCAGTTGCAGCCGCGACTCCGCCTGCTGCTCCAGGCATCTCAGCTGCTCCGCCAGCTGCGCGCGGATCTCTGCGGGACACGCGGGACCGTCAGTGCGGGCTGGCCTGGCCACGGCCCCCCACCCCGGTCGCCTCGGCAACGTGACATGCGGGGGAGCGTTTCCCGCCTGGGACACGGAGGATAAAGTTCATGGAAACCAAAACGAGGTCAAGTTCCACCCGGGGACCTCAGCTGCCCAGAGACCCCCACATCCCAGCCAAGAACAGGAAAGCGAGGGGTGTGGGGGAGGGGAGAGAGGGAGAGAGAGGAGGGAGAGAGGGAAAGAAGGAGAGAGGGAGGAGGATGGAGGAGAGAGAGAGGAGGATGTAAGGGAGGAGGGAGAAAGGGAGAGGGAGGAAGGAGAGAGGGAGAGGAGGCAGGAGCTAGGAGAGAAGAGGGAGAGAGAGAGAGAGAGAGAGGGAGAGCGCGCACCAGCTGACGCTAGCTGGCTGGCCCAGGCCTGCGCCAGGGCTGGCCGTTAGTTAGGGCCTGGGGAGCGCGTGCCAGTGCCCACACACTCCTCCCTGGGCAGGACAGGGCAGAAAAGTGGCCACCCTTCGACGAACACCCAGATGAGCAACAGCGCAGGGTCACAGCACCAGAGAGCTCGGAGCTGGGCTGTGACCCCCAGCCGGGCCCAGTGGTCAAGCCCCGGCTCGTCCGCCCACTGCTGGTGTCCCCGGAGTGGGCTTGACCTTCAGGCCTTGCTGGTCAGCCCAAGTCGCCACGCCACCCCGCTCAAAACGTCTCTTGAACCTCCTGGGGACGGAGTTCTACACCCACGCTTAGAATTCAAGACCCGCCACACTGAGGGGCTCTGAACCTTCCAGATGGCCCGGGTCACGCCTCGGACTGTCCACCCAGCGCTCCCTCCGCATTCTCCAGAAGGCAGCCCCCGCCCGGGTGCAGGCAGACCCCCAGGGGGCAGATGGGAACCGTGCCTACTCCTCCCAACTCTGCCTGACAGCCCGACCCTCTCCCTCACCCCGACCCTCAGTGCCATGACATCCGCGTGACCCCCAAAGGAATGTTGCAGGAAAACTTCCTTTGATCCAGGGACCCCAAGTTCTCACTCCAAGTGCAGCCTGGAGGGTCACGCTATGAGCTCTTCTGGGGTGGGGTGGGTCTGTAGAAATGCGGGGCCTCCGGCCCGAAACCAGGCCCTCGGAGCAGAACCCACCCCACCATGCACACCTTAAAGCACGAGGGGCGCTGGTCCAACCCCTGTGCACAGGGTGCAGACCTGCTCGCTATCTGCTCATCGTCATGTGAAACAGGGGCCTACGGTCACCGACTGCAGAGTTGCTCACAGTTACAGTCTGGAAGATACTTCAGGAGTTTCATTACCAGAGAAAAAAATTAAATGCTCAATATTACCTATGTATTCGGGGTAAAAAGAAATGAAATACGTCGTTAAAAAAAAAGTCTCAGTCTGGGGACTGGAGAGAGGGGACAGCCCTCTGGGGATAGCATGCTGACCGCACCCTGCCCCCCCCCCAGGAGTCACCCGAGCACTGCCGGGCGTGCCCCCCCACCACTCAAAAAAAGTTTCAAGCATAAAGACCAGAGTACAATCAAGGTTCTGTGAAAGGAAAGGAAACGATGAGTTCAAGAAAGCAGAACCGTCACAATGGAGGATCTCTGAGGTCATTCTTGGCGGGTAGCACGGCACATGGCAGTCTCTAGAACCCGAGTTCCTCCCGGAGGTACACACCCCTGGAAGGCCAAGTTTCTGCCCCCAAGGCCAGTGCAGGGACACATGCACGGAAGCGTCACGGCCAAAGAGAACCACCCAGTTGGCGCATCCGCCCTCTGAGGGCCGGCCACGGCCTCGGGTTCCATCTCAGGGCCAGGCTCGAGGAACCGTGTCACTGAGGGCGTCGCCTGGGGCCTGCGGTAGGCTGATCCTGGGCCGGCAGAGCTGCAGGCCACACGCTGGCCACACAGCCTCAGTCTCTCTGGGGTGAGGCTGGTGCGCAGTCAGTCGGCCCTGGCGACGGAACCCTTCACAGCAGGGCCCAGGACGGTCCCCTGGGTCACTGGATGAGGCCAGCCAAGAGGCGGGTTAAGGCCGGACTGAGCCTACCCTGAACCCCGGCCAGCTGGAGCAGGAGGTCAGGGACCTGCCTGCCATCACTGCCAAGGAAGTGGAAGCTCTGGGCCCGGGTCCTCCTACCACAGAGGTCAGAGGTCAGAGGTCAGGGCAAATGATGACCTCCTCCAAGTGCCTCGGCTCAGGAGCATGAAGTGATGGGCTTGTGGGAGCTCCCCTGTGAAGCACATACAACATGCATCCATCCCACACCACACGCACTCCCATACGAGACACCACACACGCCATCGTCCTGTTCACACAGACCACATACTCACTACACACCACACGCACGGCGCACAAACACACTCAAATTCCACACATGGGGGTGGGGGGATGCAGGAGGGAAGCTGGGGACATTCAGGTGGGAAACGTGCACTGCTGGAGGGACAGGTGCTGGAGCACTGTACACTGATACACACCCCTCAGCATGTGCCCACTGTGGCTATGATCCGGCCTCACCGATGAAGAGCCACGCTGTGGGTCTGGGTCGGGGGTGTGCCCAGGCCCCCCGCGGCCACCTCTCCCGTGAGGACAAGCCCCCTGGCACCAGGAGCGCCAGAAACGCTTCCCAGTTTTCAGGTGGCATGTAGCCCGTCGCTGTTTGGAACTCGGAGTCAGTTGCCACAGCAACTGGGGGAGCTGGTGGCCTCGGGCAGTCTGTAGAACACGCCACAAAGGTGGAGGCTGTTGGGGTGCCCCGCTGACCCTGGGAGGGTCTGGAAGCCTCGGTCCGAATAGCGGACAAGCGGGCACTTAAGCCGGGCCTCAAGCCCAGATCCTGCAAAAGGGAGCGGCCGCCTGGACACTGGCTGCAGCGAGGCTGCTCCGGAGAGAAAGGGGCCCCGGCCCCCTCGGAGCCTATCACGGGCGGGGGTCTGCAGAATGAGCTTATCAACACGGCCTCAGCCACGCCGCCTCTGCTGGGGCGGGAGCAGGAGCAGCTATCGAGGAAAAGTTCATAAATTATACGGCGGTGACAGGAGAGGGCCCTGAGGACCAGAGCCACCCTCCCCCACGCAGCCTCCAGGCTGGTCCTTGTGAAGCCAGCTCCGTGGCTCTCGTGGCCTTTCCAGCGGGCAGAGGAGCCTGCAGTGGCCCCGGGAGCCATGTGGTCCCTCCCTTGGGTTGGAGAAGCAGCGGGTACCCAAATACTTTCTCCGAAGCTTTACTCGGTCACAGTCCACCCCAGCGCTGAGTGCAGGGGTGGGGTGAGAAGGGGCTTCAGAAGGCAGCAAAGGTGCTTCCCAGGCCACCTGGTGGCCTCCCTGGTTCCACAGAGGCGGGCTCAGCCTCCCGCCACAGCGCACCTGCTGTCACTCTCCTGACGAGACCCTTGGTGGCTCCCCATCACCAGAGCCCACGGCCCCCTGCTTTCTTTCTAAGCAAGCGTTGGAAGGGAGCAGTGTGGCCATACTCAGCCACCATACCCGGGCATGGGTGACTGGCCTAGGGGACAGCGAGGCCTCGTCCCTGCCCGCTGCCCTGCCCATCCGCACAGCCAGAGCCAGCGAGGGAGTGTTGGGAGCCAAGACAATTAGGAATTCTAGGTATTTCTTGCTCCAACATTTTTGGTCTTGTTTTGGGGCCACATTTGGCAGTGCTCAGGGCTTATTCCTGGCTCTGGGCTTATGGATCACTCCTGGTGGTGCTCAGGAGACCCTACGAGATGCCAGGGATTCAGCAGGGTCGGCTGTGTGTGATGCAAGTGCCCGACCCACTGCACTATCTCTCTGGCCCTCAAAGACTATTTGTAGAGTGATTCTATGTTTACAAAAATATATATCCAAGAAACAGAGTCCCCACCCACCCCAGCCCCCCACCTAGAGTTACCCCTTAGCAAACAGCATTAACCTGCACTCATGCGTTCACAGAATTCACGGTGGGTCCCAGAGTGCAGGCCAGTAAGGAAACTCGGGTTTCTGTTAGTACACACTCAGTACCGCTCACGCCAGGGTCACTGAGGGCTCCGAGCACACTCGCATCCCTGAACCCACAATCCATATTCTCTGCCCTTCTCCCCTCAAACCTGGCAGCTACTCACTGATCTGGGGGAGAGGGTCTTTCCTTGCATGCAGCTGACCCTGGTTCAAATTCCCTCCACCACAACGGGTCTCCGGATCATTGTCAGGGGTCACTTCTGAGCACAGAGCCAGGGATAGCCCCTGAGCACTGAAGGGTGTGACCTCCCACGAAAAGACAGAAAGAAAGAAAGAAAGAAAGAAAGAAAGAAAGAAAGAAAGAAAGAGAAAGAGAGAATAAAAGGTACTTCGTTGTAGGAAATCAATGTTTGTTTTTGTGTTTATTGACTTGGGAGAAATTTGAAAGGCAGAAGCAGAAGGAGAGGTCCCCTGGTTCTTCCATGGAGCAGCCACTAGGCCCTTCGGCTACCCAGCTGGCCGCAAGCTCATGCCCTTCCAGCTGGAACCAGGGCCCTTGCAGGGGACCCTGCACTGTGGGTTCTGCCCAGGGTGCTGAGTCGTCCCCTTCCCTTGGAAACCGCATCAGGGAGATGAATGATTCCTCAAGAGCCTCCCCAAGCTCCAGGATTGATCTCGGAGAGCAGCTGAGCTATATCCCAGGAAGGCCCAGTCACCGCCTGGCCAGGCCTCTGGGCCCTAGGCGGGAAGTGGGCAGACGCGGGCCCACCCTGCCAAAGGCTCAGTGCCGCACCCGCCGTATCTGGTGCCGCCGCTGCCAGAGAACCAGCCCAGCTTCAGGACTGAGCTCAGGGAGGCCAGCGAGGTCCCTGCATTGCTGGTCCCAACTCCAAAGCCCCCGAAGCCAACAGCCCAATCTGGGGCCATGCAGCACCCCAAACTCTACGGGTACACAGTCCGGGGTGGGCAGGAACACCGGGTGGAGCACTGGGCGGAAGCCACTGAGCTCCGCAGGTGGACACAGCAACACACAAGGTCACTCGCACTTCAGGAAACCC